AAAAGATCAATCAAATCAAGAATCGGTAGAAGAAATAAATCATCTCAATCGATGATCACCGGATATCCGTTTTCGTTTCACTGACGTTTTTTTTTCTCAAAAAAAAAAAAAAAACAAATCCCCCCAAATAATGATTTCCATAATTTTATCGTAAACCCATTAAAAATATTCTGGCAAAAGCTTTTCAATCTCCCATGAATCACCATTTACTGAGAATCCTTTGACGTTTAATTAAGAAGAAATACAACGTAATCCTTCAATTTTCATCATCCACTTGTCCCTAATCCCAAATTAACAAATACCCGATAATAAAGATTTGGCGTAATAATAATTGCCATGAGTGTACAGACCGGAATAACGATAGTAATAATGATGATGACGATAATGATGATGATGATGATGACGACGAGGATGACAACAACCGGTAGCATTATCGCCTTTGGGTGAGGGTAATGCACATGAAACCCACAAAAGAGAGAGAGCACCGATTCCCGGGTGAATAAAATAAAAAGAAGAATCACCAAAAAAAAAAGAACCAAAATCCTCCCTTTTACCGTCACTCACACCAACGATAAAAGATTATAACTCTTTCATTTTCTTTCATTAAACCCAGTAAAAGCCTAGTTACGAGGGAATAAATCGGTGAAGTAGCGACGCACAGTTTCACCGAGCTAATGCTTTTTTTATTTTATCATCTCCATGGGGTTGTACTATACCGATAGGTCAGGAACTCAGTACCATTCACTCGAGAGGTGGCTCATACACCCGTCGCTTCTGGGTGGTAATTAGTTCCAATCCCCGTAATGACGTCGTATATCTCAACAATAATTTTTACACGATCTCCCCAGCGACCCCTCGTCCTCGTTATTTCCCTATTTCACCATAAAAACAAAATTTCAACCGCTAAAAAATTCACCGTCCAACTCCACTCAGAGTGTACCTCATTCAATAAATTTATCAGCAGAAGAAAAAAAAATTGTGAAGATCTCCAAACAAATCGCTTTGCACGTTATAGTTTTTTTTATTCTAGTCTAATTTCTGGATTGATTTTTGAAGAAACCTAGCCAAAGATATGGGAAAAAAAAAAATGATGTTTTATTGGGAATAACGAACGAGTCAGAGTTGACTCTGAGCTGCTACTGCCGGCAATGGTAGACCAGGAGGGGCTCTGATTGCGCGGGATTCTCGCTTTGAAGTCCCACCGACAATTTTTCTTCACCATCTACTCGACTCGTTACCACTCTGGCGACTCACCAGGAATCACCACGTACTCCAGTGTCTCATCGCCACCTCTATCACCGCCTATCACCAACATTTTCCCGTACCCTTTCCATTACCCACCACTTTCAACATCTCCATAACCATCAGCCTAAATATTCAATGAAAATCCCCAATACCATTAAACATTATCAAAATTGCCCAACACTTTCACCTTTAACCCCCAATTCTCCATTCCCACTCATTCCCAATAATCAATCAATCAATCAATAGATGTCTATTAATTAATTCCTCCATAATTAATTAGAATAATCAAATAATTATCATTATTGATATTCCGATAAGAAAAATTGAATAGATGAAAAATCCGATAAATAAAAATCCAGCTTTTACCCAGAGACAAGACAGATCCCGACACTTTCATGAAAAAAACGTGAAGAATTTTGAGATAAAATTCACACATAAAGGAGTAGATTGTATCCAAAGTAACCCTGAAGATATGCCGACACGTGAAAATCTTTCCCAAGCATTTGGAATCGTCGAACACCCCGAACGAGAAATCCGAAAGAGTCGAAAAGGGACTTGAAGCACCAGCACACGGGCAATTACATCGGAGAACAATTATAGGTAGGCACGTCCAACCTCTCAGTGCCATCGTCGGCTTTTTATGTTACCGTGTATTTCCCCCCTCCTCCGTCATCCCGCCAAGATTCCACCGTCAGAAGAACGTGGAAACTGTCTTTATCCCTTGGTAAATCGCAGCTCGCCGCCACTGATCGACATTTATCTTATTTACCCAATTTTTTTATTCCCCATCCCCCCTTCTCTCTCCACCACCTCCCACCACCCCCTCGCAAATTGTAAAATGAACATTTCAATGGGCGTAATCACTCTCAATTCCCACCCCCACCCTGACACTTAATTACGCGACTAATAATTCATTTTTCAGCCCAGTATTAACATTGACCAGTTAAATGTGTAAACACTGGGCCTCAATGCCCATCCCTCTGCAACAAATCAAGTCGACACCTCTGGTAATTTCTTAATGCACCGATAACAACTTAATTCGTGGCTTTGGTGATTCGCCGATCAAACAAAGCGTTAGGGCTCTCTCGTTTGGCCTTTAATAAGCAACGGCAAGTGGTCCGAGGGGACCAGCACTTTTTGGAAGTGCGAGATTTAACAGCAGAGGCCATAGGGCCAACGAGTCATTACCCAGACCCTGGATTCCCTTCAATCGTGTAATCATCTCACATGTGTACTATGTACTTAGTCGTGATAAAGTTGTGGCAAAAATACTAGATACACATTCTCCTCAAGATTTTTTTTTCCCCAAAAAAAGTGCGTCATTTAAAAATTCCGGGGAATTATTGCAAAATTTTTTGGAGCTCAAGAAATTCAGGGAAATTTTGATTTTTGACATTTTTTAAAGGAATGATTAATAAGATTTGTTTACTATCGAGAAAAAAAAATTATATATCGATTTCTCTGAAATTCTGAAAATGACAGGCAGTTTTTTTTTTTTTGCAAAATGTCCCTCAACCCGACCCTCAGTAATAAAAAACACTAGTAAAATGACGTCTGTCGAAGGGTTGCAAAAAATTCCTTTGTCATGCACATAACGAAGGGCCGACGGGCAAGTGCCCTGGCGTGACTATTTCAAAAGCGACAACGACTTGTAAAAAAAATGATATGAAACTAAATAAAACCAATAGAATCGATGCAAAAGAATGAAAAAAAAACGTAAACGTTACAAAGCCGCGGGTGCTGTGAGCTATTACCCCAAGACTTCCACACGCTATACCCGACTTTTTCAATTCTACAATAGCACAAGATTGTTCCTACAATAGATTCAAAGCCCCGAGACAATACGATTGATGCTAACCGCAATGTGAAAAGAGGTGAGGAGACTAAAAAGGTACCGCTGCGACAAAATAGTAATACAAATACGTGTAGACATTATTTTTATAAAAACCCAAATGCTACCCGTGCACATTGAAAAACCGCACAAACGAGACTGAATTATTATCGAAATAAGATGCATTAGACGTGCCAAAAGGTCTACTCGTCATTCAATATACCATTTTACATGTGGTCAGACACTAGTCTCCACTTTGAATTACTCGAATTAAATAAACATAGCTGAGAATGAATAAATTTCCTCATCCAAGACACGCGACACCCAAGCTAGAGATACCTGTTACATCCAATGAATTTATGAAAGACCAAATTATTTTAAAAAAATGAGTGAAAATAATGAAACCTGGAAAGTACTTCTTAGCAGTAGAATGCAATTGAAAAATATAAAAACAAATGTCAATGCGAAAGAGTTGTCAACGGAGTGCTGATAAATATTTATGCAGTTGGAAGATGGAGTCTTGCGGTTAAAATAGCAATTGCATCGGGAATGACATTGTTGGCATTTTTTTCGAGAGTCCCAAAGTGAATTTTATAAATTTCTTGGCCTAATGATTTATATGCGATACATCTTTCCCCCAGGTTCAAGTTCATTCGTTTTGTTATTGCCGAACCGGTTCACCAACGGCGTTCCCTCAAACGTGACCGTAAGCGCCTTGATGCGCGCGCGATCGGAATTATTTAGCGGTTTATTCAACTAATTTAATAGCCGATCGATTGAAAAGAGAGTTTTAACCGCGAGTTGAGGGTAAAAACGTCAAGTGAGGGGGGACAGAGAAGGGATGAAATGTTAGGGATTGAATTCGATGCCGAATGGACATCCATCGATATCATTGACGGTGATTACGATTCTACCGATCGACTCACAGGGAATGTTTTCTTCTGACTGGAACCCCGGGTTGCGGTCCTTTATTGGATTTAGTCCCCTTAATGATTTCGTCAAGTCGAGAAGAACCTGCCAGGCATTCCACAATTCTTGTCCTGCCCTTCGAATTTCGCCAATCGCCAAATCACGAGTCTCCACCATTTTATTTTTCCACTAATTCCACATTTTTTGCCCCTCCGTTAATTTCATTGTTATCGCAATTTTCATCCGCGGAATTTTTCATTTTTTATCTCATAAATCGCTCTTGACATTTCCCTTCAAACCCATGGATGAACGCGATTGAAAAATTTATGCAAAATGCCATAAATAATCATTCCCACGATATTGGTGGGGAATTAAAAATTAATAATCATGATGTAATCATTTTCGCGGGATTAAAAAATTTTTTTTTAATCAATATGATGTATTCACCGTGTAGATGATGCTCTGCGTCCTCTGGACATCCCCTCGGTCATCAAATCCCACGTGGAGTCGGTGTTGTACCACGCGTACAGGATTTTCTCACTTATTAACACTGCACAATTCACAAATGATCCCCAAAATCCCGACAACTCCCGAAAAAAATCCCCCGTTACCCCCTCACACCCTCAACCCCATCATAGAAACAATATAAACTTTTCACTCTACACTTTTGCAACAACAAATAAACAAATACCGAGATTTAACATGGCGCCGAATAGCGAAGTTCTTTGTTCTCACGCAACTTTTAGAAAAATCATAAAAATCGTTCGAATTTTGTAAATTTTCAATATTCAAACGATTCTTTATATAAAACCAATACACAAGACAATATTTCACTCAACAATTACACCGTAATTACCTCGTAAACCCCGAATTTCGACGGCTTTCTTTGTCTAACACCCGCGCGGCGTCCCTCGGCGTCCACCATTTTGCGACTCTCTCATTTGTTCGGCGCGCGCATAATTCATGTATGCGTCGCCTCCCGCGCGCCGCATCAGCATAACTCACGCATGCGTCGCGCCCCTCGTCCCGCGCGCGCATAATATTTTTAACCTATTTCACTGTTTTTCTTCTCTATTCAACCAATTCCCCATGAATAAACATTATTAATTATTAATTATCAATAATTAATTAATGATAGATAAACCAGTGACTGTCTTCTTCATTTTTTCGAGTGAATCCATCGAACCAAGTGGACTTACGTAAAATCTACTAGTGCGTATTATCGGTAATCATTTCAAAAATAAATCGTATTATTTTCGAATGATTAATTGAGAAATAAAAATATAAATTGACATTTATATTTTTCATTTAGGCTAGAAAAATGTTGAGGAGAGTATTATTTATTAAAAAATTCTTGCCCTCGAGTCGGAGTTTCCGGGGCTTTTCGGAGTCGACGACACTAGATAAAATAGAGAATAATGAGGAAAACAAATGGAGGGAAGAGTTATTATCAACGATGAGGATTTTTCCTGGATTTATCACCACAGCAGAAGAAGAGGGACTGTTTAATGAAGTAGAGCCTTACATGAAACGTCTGCGCTACGAGTTCTCGCATTGGGATGACGTGAGATCCATTTATTTATCTATGGTAATTGTCCAGATGTTTAAATATTGCGGTAGTATTTTCTAGGCGATCCACGGTTACAGAGAGACTGAACGAGCTAAATGGAACGAGGAAAATACAAAAATCATCGACAGGGTGAGGAAACTAGCGTTTCCACCAGGTATGCCCCAGTTAGGGCTCGTCCATGTCCTGGATTTGGCTCCTGACGGAAGAATAAAGCCCCACGTCGACAGTGTCAGGGTACTTAACTAATTAAAATTGCCAGAAATAATTAATAATCACGAATAATTAATTTTTTATTCTCAAAATAAATTGATATTAACATTCGTAGTTTTGTGGAGATGTGATAGCAGGGATCAGTCTGTTAACAGATTGCGTCATGAGACTGACTCTCGTTGGGAACGAGAAAAACTGTCGAGAGGACTTCCTCCTGCCCCGTAGATCCTTGTATATAATGAGGTGAGCGACGAGGCCCTCAAATACTCAAATCCTGAAATAAAATTCCTCTGAATAATAAAAATAAGATGAGATAAACGGAATAATATTTAATGGCATTTATTTCCAGCGGTGTGGCTCGTCAAAAGTACAACCATGAGGTATTAGGCCCAGAAGAATCAATATATCAAGGAGAGAAGATAATAAAAGGTAGACGTATTTCCATAATATGCAGGAGTGAGCCTGACGGCGATCGGAAACCTTAAAATACAATCCAACAGTACACAAACTTGGAAACTACGGAACTACTCGAAAACTTCCCATGAAACACGTCATTGTAGTAGTTAACTCCTTTAATTAAATCCATTCAATCATGGAGCACTCACAGTCGTAATTATCCTTCAATTTCGATAATTCTTGATCAGAAAAAAAAATACAAATTAATGAGCAACTCCAGGATTAAACCAGAGGACTCCTCGACATCAGAAATAGAACACCACAAAATGTTCTGGAAGATTCTAACAGAATTTCCACCGATTTCCACAGTGATTACACAGCACAAATGTAGTCATGGGCTCGTCGGCAGATCTCGTCTGGACTTGATTGTACGTGCAATTGCGTTGTTTGCATTTTCCACACTTTAGTAGATCGGTCTTGGTGCCCTGGACAGTGGCAAGTTGAGCGTCATTGATTGCTTCTTTCTTGAATTTATCTCGAAGTTGTTTAATCTCGTCACTCGCCATCTCCTCGGCGCTCATAACAGCCAGACGTTTTGCTGGAATAGCACCCACCAGAAAATTCGTCCTCAGGGTGGGATTCTTGGCATCTCGAAGATTTGCCACACGACTGCGAACCTGCAATGATTTTTTCAAACAGCCTAATAAAAAGAACTATTCAGAGGAAAAATAAAAAATTTTTTTTCGTCATTTAAAATGGCATCGCACCCTATTCTTGTATCTGTTATCAGTATTTTTGAACTCGCAGTAGATGGCCTCCTCCAGCTCTTCAGCGAGTTCCTCGGGTGATGCACAACCCTCGATGGTCTTGCCATCAACTCTGAGAGCAGCTGCCAAGAGTTCCCGGCATTTTAGTCTGACAGCATCAGTGGTGGTGGCAGGGGGAAAAGACGTCTGCTTCTTATCGTCTTTCCTCGTCTTCTCCTCCTTGATTTTAACATCCCCACTATCCGAATCCCTCTTCCTGTCGTCATCCTTACCCTTATCCGAACGCTCCTCCTTCTTCTTGGAGCTGCTCGTCGATCCAGAATCCTTTCCATCCTTGTTTGAAGCTGTAATCGAAATCGAACCCACCACAATAATTATAAAAATTAATTCATTACATCAAGAACTACAGCAGATGGAGAAGTCTAGTGCAGCTTGCATTGGTGATAAAATAATGCGGAATCAATGATGCGAACTGAATTACCATTTAAAAATTTCTTCCAATTCTTAATCAACGTCTTCGACAGGGATATGACTTCCTCGTCGTGACTGGATTTACGTAGTGCATTGACAGTCATTCCTATCCTGGTTTTGGTGAGGAGGTCGAGATCGACTGGTAATTTCTGGAGGATCTTGAGTAGCTCGAGTGCCTGCTCCTGTCCCTGAACAATCCAAAAATAAACGAAAGAACGAAAATCACCTCGTGAAATAATCCCTCAAATGGATATACACAATCTAGGGGGCAATGGGTCTATTGATATTGTTGAACGAAAGAGTCGCGTCCCGGTTAAAATTTCATCTTTCAGGGCACTCGCAATTTACTCACTCACTCACCGTCCCGTCCCCGTTTGACATCTTCGTCAGCTTCTTCTGGATCCTCATCACTTCCTCCTCGGCAGTCATCACGATTTTGGCGGGTTTTAACAGATCACCAGAGATTACTTTGGACCACGCTTATATTTTGGAATTCGAGAGTTTATTAGACCCACAACGTTAGCTTGCATTCAGAATACTGGACGAACGAGAAGATGGGGGCAAAAAATTTTACTGCTTTGTGGAGGAACTAGATCCACCCCTGCCAACATCAACCACCGAAAACCGCGAAATTCAAACTACTTCAATAAAATCAATTCAACTTATTTCAATCCTCTCCAGGACAATTTATTTTATTGACTCAATTATCGAGGTTATCATTTATTTCGGAATAGTAAATTAAACCACGAATTCAATCCCCTATTTATTGAAATTCTCTCGAAGACAGAGTATTCATCGTAAATATAAAGATACATGATAAATAGTTCTCGGATAATTAGACTTATCTAAAAATGTACAAGAGAGAATCCAACGAAAAATGCGAAAAATACAAATCTCATTATTCCAGGTATATCGAAGACTTCGATGAACTGAATTTTCGAATAGACAACTGTAGACTGAATTATGTATTCGTAGGAAGCCAAAGTGCTAGTTAAAATATGTTTCAATGTTTGTATTATCGTATGGAACTAATTACGCCGTTAAATCCTGCAAATATTTTTACTAGGATAAAAGCACTGAGTCGATTATCTTTCCAAAATGATATATACAGTATAAATAAAGGATAATTCGTACTCCCGCAGTCTCGTGCGAGATTATACTGATTGTACAATATTTTAAATCCCCTTAAATCACAATTCAAATGATCCCCTCAATCCCCTCGCAATCGATTTTATTTTCACATCTCAGTACTAATTTTTCGTTATCACTATATTTATTATTATTGTTTTTCTTTGCTGTTGGTTTAGCTGAATGCTATTAATTATGTCTAAAGATAATTACAGCTGATGTTCAATAGGTACTTGGTATAAATATTCATGTACATTATGGTTTGACGACTTTCTGGATGAACGCCTTCATATCGCGCATTTCCTGCAACATAATTTATTAATAATTAATTCCAGGTGAACTGGAGATGCTTTAAATATTTTTATTCGAAAGTTCGAGGAAATTTACTTCGTCGGAGGAGCCATGCATCATTCCCCGGTAGGTTTTGAATTCGGTTTGGGTCATGAATTGCTTCAGGAGAGATGATGTCATCTGTCCCCATTTGTACGGTACGATGGGATCGCAATCCCCATGACACTGGAGTACTGGAGTATTTTTGTTGCCCACAGCATTCTGAACACAGAATAATAAAAATTATGAATAATTGATGGATAGGGATTATCGGTGGATTATTAAGGGGTGACCCTCACAGCTGGGAATTTCTGATGGAGAGGAAGCCAGGCAGATAAAGCCACCACCCCTGCAAGGGGCTCCGGAAATGTGAGAGCACTGTACAGAGCTAGTGCACCACCCTGACTAAATCCCCCGATGACAATTCGTTGCGTTGGAATTCCAGCAGCGACTTCCGCCGCGATTAGTGTATGGACAGTCTCAGCTGCTCTCCTTATTCCTTCCTCATCCTCGGGGCCAGTGGCATCCAGGGATCGAAGATCAAACCTACAACAGATGAAAACTTAATTTGATAGAATTACATCTTCGTGAATATCTCCAAAACCAAAGAAGACAGAGAAATCTTCATTGCACACTTTTTCTAGCTCTCAAAATTTCCCATAAAAAACGTCATCACGAAAATTCTCTAATGTCGCTCTGTCTCGAGATATTCACCGAAGAGTAGAACCCAAAATTCAGTAATCTCAATTTATTCAATTAGCTTAATTCAATAAATTAAATTTTTGTTACCAAGAAGGCATTCGAAATCCAGCATTCAAAGTGACGGGCATTGTGGCTCTGAAAAGAATGAATTGAACGTAAAACGTCATGAATTTCAATGAACCCACGTGTTTCTCGTACGATAAAACTTACGCAGTGGGACAGATGACTTTCATATGTGGAGATCGAACAGATCCCATTGTACTAGCCCATCCATGCCTAAAAATTATATAAGATAATCAATCGACAATGATAAAAAAATAATACAACAATAATCACCCCTCCTAATAATCCCAATCTTACCCTGTGTCCCCGAGGCCATGAAAAAATATCAACTGTAACCAAAACACTCAGAATTAATTGACATCTTCAAAACGTCACATTCCACCGCATCCTTGAAACAAAATCGTATAAAACCCCAGTCCACATTCAATCGAGTCTGCAATTACTGGGTGAACTGGGTCACCTTATCTCTAATGAAATTACACATGCAAAGGAATGATATTAATCGATAAATCGCAAGCTCCAAAACCAATCGATCGAGTGGACCCTCAAAAACACTTTAAATAAATCCAAAATAATTAAACAGATTAAAACGAGTGGAAGAGTTAAAAATTAACTTCAGCCTGAGATTTCTGAGATTCTGGAAATTTCTCCTGTCTAGACCTGACGAGGTGTTAATTTTTTCTAACTTATGGCTCAACTATTATTGTACTATTCTCTTCAATGCACACGATTTTTGTAATTAATTAGCAAAAATATGAATATTTACTCACTGTTGCGGTATGCCGGGCTGTAGCAGTTATCACCACTTGGCTCCCCATTTCTACCCTTCAATTTCACTGATGAAATATCACTCGAACAACTCAGCAATCAGCTGATGAAACTTCGAGAAGCAACTGATGATTTTATAAAAAAAGTGAAATTTGTAAATACAGAAAAGTGAATCCGGAAGGAGAGATTTGTCGTTTACGACGTGATGCCACTGCTAGGGACCCTAGATTTCCCTTCAAATTGGCACCCCTTCCAACCCCTCCGTCCCTTCTCGCCCCTCTGCTCCAAGTTTGGTTTTCCTTCATTTCCACCCCACCCCTGGGTGTAATTTTTTTATTGAATTTGTGAGACGATAACATCAAAGAGGATTCTCAGCTCTTTGGATATGTCATAATCTAGTCATTATATTTTTTTCCATTCCCAAAATTTATCTTGTTCATACAATTAACAAATCAATGAATAATAATAATCGATAGCTAATAATTATACGAATGATAATTAGGGGTTGAGAATGGGTGATTTTTTAGCGATTAATAACACATGTGGACAGAATTTATTGAGACTAGTGTCTAGGGGCAATGCTATTATCGCTGAGTTGATGAGACTGAAGGAATACGTTCCTCCAATTTTCAGGTTAGCCTCCAGGAATATTTTCTCTGATTTATTTATAAAAACGCAAATCTGTCTTGCAGATTAGGGACTAAAGCACATGTTAATAAATATGGATCAATCATCATGGATTTCGCGTACTTCAAGGCAGCAAATGTTCATGAGCAGAGGATTGAGAATGACTCGAATCTGCAAGAGCTTGATGAGAATCTCAGAGAGAATTACTCCGATGTACTCACACGATTTTATCTGGCCTTCGAGAGTATTCACAAATACGTGACAGATCTGAATACATATCTAGATGAACTAGAGGATGGAACGTACATTCAGCAGTCCATGGAGACTGTCCTCTTGAACGACGAAGGAAAACAGCTGATGTGTGAATCGGTGTACCTCTACGGGGTGATGCTTCTCCTGGTGGACCACCAGTTCGAGGGTCACATACGTGAGAAACTCCTGGTGTCGTACTACCGTTACCATGCACAACGTTCCTCATCAACTGGAGTGGACGACGTGTGCATGTTGCTGCGTTCGACAGGATTCACGAAATCCTCCCTGAAGCGCCCCTCGAATTACCCAGAGGACTACTTCAAACGTGTCCCCATAAATTCCTCCTGCATTGACCTGCTGATCGGTCGTCTGCGTTCTGACGATCTCTACACTCAAACCCTGGCCTTCCCGAGTCCCGAGCACAGGAGCATCGCCTCGGCAAACCAAGCAGCAATCCTCGTGGTGATCCTCCTCTTCCAGCCCTCGATCCTCCACACTGGCTCCGCAGTGATGCGAGAGATCGTCGATCACTTCTTCCCGGACAATTGGGTCATCAGTATCTACATGGGGCTCGTCATCAATCTCTGCGACTGGTGGCTACCGTACAAGGCAGCTCGCACAGCCCTCAACAACACCCTGGAGGCATCCAATATCAAGACTCTCTCTCAACTATACGGTAAACGAATGAAAAAATCGACAATTGAAACCGAAAAACTCCAGCTGGCAGTCTCAGTCGAGGAGAACGAGATTGAATCAGTGGTGAAATTAATTCGAGAGGCCAATGTGTCCCTCCACTGGATCCTACTGCACACCACAACTCCCACAATTCTTCCGGAGGAATCCAAAAGAGCGAGAACCCTTCGACAGCAGGTGATCAACGAGAGCACGTACACCTCGGAGGATTCCCTGCGACTTCTCCTCAGCACAGCACAAATCGAGCAGGACCTCAAGCAGATGTACAAGCAACTTCTCCAGGACAAGGAGTCCAAGTGGCTGGAGAACAAGAAATCCTGCGTCGAGAGGATAAAAGACCTGGGGGAGGTATTCAGTGGGAAAAGAAGGCTAGATGGTATTGAAACAAACGAGTGCCTGGAGTTGTGGTTCAAGGAGATAAGTGGACACGTGAGTTCACTGGAACAGGAGGACCTCAGAAAAATAGCCCAGCTGCTGCAGGCTCTTGAGGAAGTCCAGGAATTCCACCAGCTCGAGAATAATCTCCAGGTGTCGCAGTACCTGACGTCCACCAGGGAAATTCTCCACAGTATGATAAGAACTGGAAGTATTACAGAAGATAATATGATTGCCCTCAATATTATGACTGACTGCTGCTACGCCTGGACCATTATGGAGTCCTTCGTGGAGACGATACAGTCGAGTATCAAGAAAAATCCTCCAACTGTAATAAAACTCAAGGCGTTGTTCCTGAAGATGGCATCGGCCCTGGAGACTCCTCTGCTGAGAGTAAATCAGGCGAGAAGTGGGGATTTGGCTTCAGTCTCTCAGTACTACAGCAGAGAACTGGAGAGTTATGCTCGGAGAGTTCTCCAGATCATCCCAGAGACGGTCTTCGGCCTTCTCGCGCAGATCGTCCACCTGGAGACCAATATTTTCAAGGAAATCCCCACGAGACTGTACAAGGATAAACTCAAGGATTACGCTCAGCTGGAGGAGAGACTTCAAATGGCAAAATTGACGTATGCTGTCTCAGTCTTTACGAATGGAGTTCTGTCCCTTCGTAGTGTTTCTTTGGGAGTCCTTCGGGTGGATTCCCATCGTCTCCTCGAGGATGGTATTCGTCAGGAGCTCATCAAGAAAGTCACCCTTGCCCTCCACAACGGTCTCACCTTCGACTCGAAGAAGAATTCCCTCGTTTCCAAGCTCGAGGAATTAACGAACGTCATGGAGGGCTACAGGAAGTCCTTCCAGTACATCCAGGACTACATAAACATCAACAGCTTGAAGATCTGGCATGAGGAGATCACTTACATCATCCACGTGGCTTTGGAGGACGAGTGCAAGGACTCCTGGATACCTGGAAGAAACTGGAAGGTTTTTATGCATGAGGAGAAGTCAGAGAATTCCAGCCACGAGGGGAATGGCTCCTCCTTCATGGGAAGACTCGCCCGGGAATTACTCAGGATCACTGATCCCAAGTCCACGATTTACGTGGAGCACAGTCTCGCGTGGTACGACCTGAAGAGCCAAGTGGAGGTTCTCGATCACAGGGTGTTCTCCATGATTCTCAAGGCCATTGGAACTCCAGGACTCTTCGGACTTGATAAACTCCTGAGCCACTACACGTACGTCGAGCTGGGGAATCTCTACAGGCACGTGGAGCAACTCAGGAGAGACAAGTCCTGGGGGAATTTACTCGAGGAGTGCAGGGGAATCATCAGCAACTCAGAATCAAGCAGGAGCAATCCTCCTAGAATTTATTCTCTGGTAACCAACACCGTGGGGAAAATTCTTCCCCAGATGATTGAGAGTCTCCTGAAAATCGGACACTTCCAGTTATTGAGGAGCAAAATCGCTTATGAATTGAACACTGCATGCAAGTTCGAAGCTAAACATATGGAAGCTGCCCTCAGGACTTTCAACTCAGCCCTTCTCTTCGAGCTGGGGAAAAAAGGAGACAAGGAGATAACGAGGGCTGAGGAGAATAAACTCATCAATGAGCTGAGTGTCAGGTTAGATTGGGCTGGCATCAGCGATCATCTCAACAAGACTTATATTAATTTTCCTGAAGGAGGTGATCTCGACATCATCATCTTTCTCTTCACAATTTCCTGTCTTCACAAGTTGAATTATTGCAAGAACACAGGTAAGAATATATAATCAACGAAAAAAGCTGACAAAAAACGTGATATATATTTTTTTAAAAGGGATTACGAGAATAGACAAGTACGAGGGCAGAACCGATTGAATAAATTACCGCTCCTCAACTCGATTAAATCTATTTTCATTGATGTTCGCGTGAAACTCCTCTACTTGGGATTGAATTTCCCGAGAGGATTTCCATTTTTGAAAATGACTGTCTGCATCCGCGGATTAAATAATTCAAGGTCTTTTTCCAGCGAGTCTGCTGAGCAAGAAAATCCAAGACCCTGTGGATGCTGTTGTTTTTACAATTGGAGTTCATTCTTTTCTGAGACAATTTGATGCGGATGTATTGGAGAGTTATATCTCATTCTTGTGTAAATATCTGATGGCCTTCGTCGCGAGTGATGGGTAATTTCATTTGGCAAGTGGAATTCTTAATTCAGCGGGAAGATTAATCAGGATTTATTACGATTTCAGGGGCAAAATGGGGAGTGAATGGGAGGCAGAGGGTTCCACAGTCCTCCACTACCTCCAACTGCTCTCTAAATACGCGTGTATCAAGAAATCCACGATTATGAACCACATTCCAGTGATAGTTCTCGATCAGTATAAGAAAGTCAAATGATGTATTTCCAATAAAACTTCCATCATGTTATTGCTTTGAAATGATCTCGATGTAGAAGCCAATTTGCAGATTGACTGACCTAGAGTCCCGATAAACGCCTGGACATGTGGGTTTTTAATAAAAACTTGTTATGTTTAGTGCTGGGGCTTTTCTCCAAATCATTTGCCAATTGATGTGTCTGCGGTAGGCGGCAACGGCGGCCAGAGGCGGCAAGCCTGCGGTACGCCGGTAGCGGCTGCTACGTACAAAAGGAAGGACTCGTCGAATCCTCCATTCAGTTAGAAAATGTCACAAAGAAATTCTACAACTCTTCGTTGATATTATCACTGATTTATTGATATTTATTCTGGTGCTGAGTTTCGTGGAATCGGTGGAATGAAGACCAGGAAAAAGTCCAATTCTTTTTTCAAAGTGAGATCACCCTGTCATTCAGGTTTTTACCTTCCTAAAGCGTCCAGTTCTCGAGACAATTCGCATTCAGGTCAAGCAGGTCAATTCTCATAACTGAAGAAGAAATTAGACATTGTGAATAATTTAATTATCGGGGAACATTAATATATTTAAGATATTTTAGACGGTTTCGGCATTCGTTCGAACACTTGACGATTCGACTCTGATGTAAAAATTAAAATTTTGAATTAAAATTTTAGTATTCCTCTCGATGAATCCACTAGCGACCCGTGGATTCCACCAGAAGATTTAATAAGTTACAAAAAATCCCATAAATTCCTCACGTCTGGGTATGACGTGACGATACGTCACACCTCGACCCCGAATTTCCTGTCTTAATTATTAATTAAGACTCCCGGTAAATATTTTTTACTCCCCAGGCCATTGCTCTCCTAATGATCCTCGTAATCTCGTTAAAACCCTCGAGCGGTCAGAGTTCAGATGAAAAATACACCCGAGGGAATTACCAAATGACGAAAACACAAACTCGAGCCCGTGAAGTCAGGGGAATTAGACCTGGGAGTCTCCAGACAGCCAGGGACTTTGGAAAAAGAAATGATCGTCTCCTGGAACTCAAGGATGTCTTCGATCGACAATTAAAAAGGTCAGTTGCTATTTCAGTCAATAATAATAACGTGAACTGTTCGATTTGGGAATTATTTTGTCAGATATCCCATTCACTGGCTTCTGGAGCTGCAGAGGTACCCCAGAGTCACGCGCCAATACGAACGAGCTCTGGTGAACACCGAAGACCAGAGGAATTCCATCACCAGGCTGTTGCTCCAATCCCTCTAAATCCTCTGACTTCTCAATCGATCAATGTTTAATTCGTTATCACATGTGTTGATGACACGAATAAATATTTATTTCCTTGACCCAATTTACGTTTTTCTCTCGTGGAAAGGAGCAAGAAATGGATGGTATTTTCATTTTAAAATCTATATCTTCTGCTTTACTCTCAACTATTCACAATTTTGTGCTATCAACACTGTGATGAACCATTGAAATCAAATTTCACAATATCGATTACAATACATAATAAATTAGATATTGCAAATGATAAAAATGCAAAAGCAAAGAGAGACACTCGGAAAAATTATTCATTCAATCCAATAAATGCTATATTTACTGAATAATTACTTCGCCATTTAATTGAGCCATGAGTTTGATAAACTAATCCACTCTGAAGCAGTAGAAATAAATTTTCATTTTAAAAATTAAAGAATTGGGAAAATTTTAATCTCGACACTCGAATAAATAATTTCTCTGGGTGTCCCCCGTATCACAGAATTTATCTTGTACCTTCAATTAAAGTCGCTTGCGAAAAATATCAAGGCACATATAGGCAACATAATCTCCGATGCTCTCAATAAATCCCAGTACTGAATCATTTCAACATTAATCGAACTAAAATAATATAAACAACAATTCACGTCTAAACACAGAGAGTTGTAGCCCTGGAGCAATGGAGGTCCCGAATGAAAAAGATAAACAGAAAAATCGAGGGCCCCAGATGTTTAATATTTTTTCTTCCCCTGGGAGGACCTCCGGGTTTCCTTGGGGATGCAGGTGGCAGCGGAATCCACGGAGCCATCGTCGCTGGTACCCGAGGACTTCTTCCTTTCCTGAGCGATAATTTTTTTAGCTAGTTTTCTCGACGGTTTCGTAGGCCTCGCCAGCATGGGCTCAGTATCCTTCCCCGAGTGAATTTCCCCTCGTTTTCCCCTCCTCCCCTCGTCACCAAGAGCACCAGTATCACGATAATCCCCGATGGACTTGGAGAGTCGCCTGGAGTTGTCCCTCACCGGGGAGTCCAGAGACTCAACATTATTATTGCTCCTGAGAAGCGCTCCGATCATCTGACTGGAGAAAAAAGGCGCCTGCCTGATGCAAATATTCATATTTGGACTGGAATTATCCAGAATGAGTTGCTCTGTATCATCATCAACGTCATCAGTGCTGTATGTCCTTCTGCCCTGGGATTTCTTGAGAATCGATCGACTCCGATCACCCACAAAGGTTTGGCTGTCGATCGAGTCAACCGACTGGGACTTGTTCCCAGATCCTCCTGCAATATCACAATCACAAAAAAATCAAAGACAAAAAAAAAACACACTGGGAGCAATGAGGCAGTGCACTACTGGATAAAAATAATTTCATTCATCGTTTATTGTTGTTCGTTGCAAAATTGATCTGATGTGCAGAATGACTAATCAGCGCCAGATCAGCGTCGAGTGAAAAATAAAAATAAAAATAAATATCACTCTCTAAGATAAACAAAACTCAGTCGTACAATATCACACTTACATATTAAACTTAGGACTATTAATTCTCAATGAGTCTATGGCTGATGTCAATAATTAAGTGATAAAAAAATAAATTATGTACGAGTGGTTGATGATATTTATTCACATCAGCCACGTTAACATGGTCTCATTCGCATAATTGCTAAATCTCATTTAATCAAAGTAATGAGCAGATCACGTTTTATTGAGCGAAATGTAAATAATAAACTTATAAAATAATAGAGTTGTACAAATATTGTAATATCGTGGTCGCGTGCAGGTTTACTACTGCCTCTTTGAGTAATCGAGCAATTGGAGCTTCTTCGATTATCGTGATACGTAGCAGTTAAGTGATAACAGTTTCTCATGAATTTCGCCGTATCCTCTCACTCATTTGGTCGTGAAATTTACATATATACATGATTGCATGATCCAAACAGATGGGGGTATATTTCTATTACAAGCACGGCCTATTTGCCATCAACGAACTATTTTAACAGTGCCTACTAGCAAATCAGCTATCTGTCGTACAGGAATCGGCATTATTTATCATCCAATAAAAATCAATAAAATAAATTTCCAGTCAGTTATTTAAAATTGATTTTTTTAATATACTACTTCGTACGTGCCTATCCCTGATTACAAAAAAATTTCTCCAATTCCCTCATTCTGGATAACAGTAGCTGTGAGAACAGTGCGTGCGTGGATGTACTGTTACTTAATTTAAAACTAATTAATGATCATTTGGTTCTAGTTTATCAGCTCTACCTCAACGCTCTCATATCACTAAACAATTGTGGAAATAACAAGTGAAATAATAACTATCGTTCACCTACGAGTTTAAAAAGCAGGGAATGATATGTATTCAACGATTTCGTAGATATCTCTCGTATTTTATCTTACAATATATTCTATTTACATAATGAACAGTTGTGATACTGCGAGTGATGAAGCGTGTTGCAATCGGCAAACTCGAAAAATATGTGGAAATGGATAATCGGTTGCTGCTAGAATCTAGTTGGAATTATTCACTAGGCTGGAAGTTCTTTTAAATCATTTACCGGTGTATTGTTTAGAACCACTTAGATTGCCGAAGAGCTGCTGATTAATCAGCCGAGTTGCTGATGCTAAACTCGTCAGGGATGAGTTTGAAGTTGTGGAGATAGGCCGCTGACTTCGGAGACCTATTTGCAGATTATTGTTGTCCTCTAGATCTCCAACATCTCGTGGTGTATTAGTGGGTGTTGCATCAGGATCTGTTGGTGACTGCTGACGACGCGATGCACTCTGCGAATTTTACAATACATTTTTCATATTTATCCTCCTCCACTTTCATCGAAAATATATTCAGGAATGTAAGACAGTGACTCAAATAAATTAAACTATTTCCTAAGCTAAAAGCTTCTCCGGGAAAAATCAATTGTTGATAAAAAATGCAGAAGCAATTTTTCAAGTTATATTTCTATTTCTTGGATAAAATATTGAAAGGGTAGAATTGAAAATGATGGAATTGGATGAAAGGAGAAGAGGGTAATGTACCTTAGCTACTCTAGTCTTTTTGTGCTTGGGGAGGGTGTCAGTTCCTTTTGCTGCCTCCTGCTGAGACTGAACACTCTTGGAGAATTCACCAGTGAATAATGATGCATCGAGGGATTTATCAACCCCAATGTCTCGACACTTGTTGTCAGCACTTTCGAGTGGATTGATGTAGAGATTACTGTCACCCTCGTCTTGTGGTTCACCATCGCCTAGCATCTCCTGGGAGTGGAATGGATGGGTCTGGCAACTTGCGTACGTACCGGAGCTGTCGACACTACCCCGGTCATTGTACCCTCCTTTTGTCGTCTGATAATTCGTCGATGGGGATGTGTAGCTCGTTGTCTCCATGGGATGAGTTGTAAAACGCAGTGGGGATGACATATGATCGGCATAACCACTTGTTTCGATACTACTATCCCGTAGTGATCGCAACTCCTGGCGAATTGTTTTGCTGAAGTCACTAGTGGCTAGAGGCATTATGTCTTCAGCATCCCGATGGTCTTTGTACTCCTAGAAATAGATCCGGGTCATCAAACCGATCTTCATTTTCCTCCCTCCAAGCTCCAATCCTCCCAATCTACTTCAATCATTAATATCTCGAAAATCAACGAACCAATTCCGACAAGTATAAACCTCTCAATCAAAGGATCAGACGAAAAATAAAATGGGCATCATTGCCCCCGTGAGTTCTGAGTAATTGATGATTGAAAACTGATTTTTATGACGATTTATTCCGACTCTTGATGATTTATCCTCGGAGGATAGATAATTGTGGATTTTTTGTGCAAAATCGTTATTATTTCTTTGGTGACTCCTTGATAATCCAATTAGTGCCAATCTTAGTAATGGCTTTGTGGTGAAAGGTGTAGGAATGGACTAGCAACTCACCTCCTGTCCATCAGTAGAGAGATCAACTAATTTTTGTAAATATCTCGAGGGTGAATGGACACCGCAGGACACGGAGTGAGGACATTTCTAAATTCATTTGAGTTTTAACATATCAAGTAATATCCACTAATGTACTAATAAAATAAAATGAATTAATGAGTCTACGCGGATTATTTAGTTGGATGCATTACTCAACTAATGAAAAAATAATGTTATTTATAGTAAATACCTTTGTGGTACAAAAGCAACACTCGAATTCACTGGGGAATTCATCGATTTTGTCGATTTTTCTCCCATCTCTCTTATCTTCATCCTATAATATCACATAATGTATATTCTCGGTGCTCGTGAGACTTTTCTACTTCTGTTTATCCTCCACATTTAGATCCATCGAAAACAGTTGATACGATCGAATTTATTTTCGATGCGATCTATTTCCGTTCACGGTGGTAAGATTATATTCTACAAGCGTATGAATGAGGTGATGATTATCGATCGATATATCAAAATTGAGGAGCCCGAGATAAATAACAATTTATCATTAAAATCGAGTCAAATAATTACTCGATTAAGAAAGTGCCACTTTGTGTACCGTCTACTTACCCGAGTCATTAAAAATCCTGAAGAGTGAATAATGATAGAATTTGAAGAAAAATAAAATCAAAGAAATCTTTATCAATGAAAAAAGAATCGTTTATTGAGTGGTGTTTTACAAAGACTCCCCTGCCCTCGTCTATCATCAGTAATATCTTGCAAACGTCTCATGCAATTAACGTAATCATCTAACTCAAATAATCCCCTCAGTATTGTGGAATGTTGATCATTTATTTAAGTTGTTTTCGTGTGACACCGGAATGCTCTCCTGCCACCATCACATTCACCGTTTATCCAATCTCAAGTTTGTACATTGCGATTATCAGGCGCCATTGTCTGAAAAATAGCGACAAACACTGATAATATAATTGGGCCTTACGTCCTTGCCTTCAGAGCTGGGCACTACGTCCTGAATTCAACTGACATTCCATTTACCTCATCATTTTTTAAATTAAAAAATTAAAAAATACGCTATTCTACCCAGCTCTGTTAATTTGTTAATTGAATAATTCACCTAATTATTGCAATAGCACAGGCTTTTTACTCGACATCTACAGGACAATGGTCAGCTATCGGTAGATCGGCATGATTAAGTTCCAACGAAATATCCTCAACTTCGGAGAATCGTATCGATTGCTCTCATTTTACAAACGCTAATATCAACACCAATAGCTATTCTCATTCTCTCGCAGTTAAAAAAAAAAATAAGACATCATCAGCTATTTTACAAATGTGTCCCCAGTGAATCGTTTATCCCGAACTATGAACAATACTCGTGCAAAATGCATTTGTCATTGACTCACTTTACGGAAGCCTCTGACTTATAGCACTGAAAATAACTGGGCATTAAGCCCGTGAAAACGGCAAACTCCACCTAACTGTTGTATAATCGATAGAAAATTGTTGATTCATAGTCACAAACGTAAGATTGTTAAAATATTTTGCACCACAGCAATAACTCATCGATTCTAGTTCGACTATAACCGAAAATACTGTTATTAAAATCGAAACCCCCCAGTGATTCTAATCCGGTTAATCGCACCTGATATTACCAGTCACGTGAGAATATCGATTGATGAGTCCTTGAAAGAAAGAAAATAGTAGTTTTGGAGTTTAACGCTTGTTCTCGGGCTTTATTTGTTAGTAAACGTCAATTTAATTTTCAACTATTCAGTTGTTTTGAGGAAAAGAAAAAAAGCTGACAAGTTTCGCTGCAAAGTGGCACATTCTTGAGACTTTTTAAGAACAACAAGTAGTCTATAGCGGATTAAATCAGACAGTTGCTAACAAGCAGGGGAATAACGTCTGGTATTTTTTTGGGGGAGAAGAGGACTCCAGTGCTGGACGTGGATTAAATTTATTTCCACTGGTTATTTAATTCGGAAATTATTTCAATTGTATTCTACACGTTCATAAATTAAATAGAGCATTGAATTGTTATTTATCCAGCTCTGGAGGCTTTTTACGTAAATGATGGACGATTTGTCGAGTGATAATGCCATGAAACAGTTTTTTCCCAGTGAATAATAGAATCTCCGTGTCACGGTGAGGGTCGATGATTCCTTGGAATATTCAGGGGATGGACAGCTGTTCTTCTTCCAAACTATACCACACGTTTTTTTTTCTAATGACAAGATTATTATTCTCTCGCAATAGTTTATTCACTGACTTGTTGGTCTATTCCTGGGGATTCGATTGATGGCAAGTCTGTCGGGCTCCGCAATTCCATGATTTTAATGATTCAATGATCAAGCACAAGCGGACAATAAAAAATGTTGCAAAAATATTCTTGGCATTTGCTGTTTGTTAAATGATTATGAAATAATTCTGAAAGTCTGGCAGAGAATAAAAATCGGCCGTTGACCCAATTATCTCGTGAATAATGATGAATTTTTAACAGCAATTTGCTGTTAAATAATAATTGCGATGATCAATGAAGCAGCGAGTCATTAAAATGGTGCCGATGAAAGCCAACGAATCAAGATAAATAGTGTTGATTAATATAAAAAAATATTTGAATATGAAAAAAATATAACTTACACTTGGAGTTGTGTTGCCATGATTGGAGTGCTGAGCTGGCAGATCATCCTGATAATAGTCATCATCATTCTGACTCCCAGGTATGTTCTGAGCGAAATCTAGGAGTCGACGACTAGGACTGTCCGGTGTCGTCGGCAGATCATTGGGAATCGGTGGAAAGCACGATGAGGCACTTCTCCGTGTACGTGACATACTGTAATGCTCGTAATTGCGATAACATCCAGCACCAGTTTGTGCTGGTCCCCTCTCACACGCGGATTCACCCTCTGTGCTGTTGCCATCAGCACCAGACATATTGTGACCTTCAAAACATGATTTAAACGAAGAAAAATAACGAAATAGATGAACAAATAGAGAATAAATCATTCTGAAAATAAGATAATTGAGAAATTGGATGACGATATCAAGTGGCAAGTAGTTGGTGTCAGTGAATGGTCTTACCAGTATCAACGATGACATCGATGAGATCCATACTCTTGGCAAATGCATCCCTCAGATTGATATGATGGAATGATACAATGCTCCCCTCCCTCTTAGCCCTCTCAAGTGCCTCTCGCCTCTTGAGGGCCTTCTCCCTCCTCATCTGATTCTTGTAGAACTCGGCAAAATTATTGACGATAATGGGAATAGGCAACGCAATTACCAGGACACCACAAATACAACAAACACTTCCAATGACTTTTCCAAGAGGTGTCGTAGGATAAATGTCTCCGTAACCTACTGTCGTCATGGTGATTCCAGCCCACCAAAACGTCTCCGGAATGCTTATAAATTTGGTCCCGGGCTCCTCTTTTTCCGCAAAGTATGCAAGGCTCGAGAATATAAGTACTCCCATTGCCAGAAAGAGCATCAACAGCCCGAGCTCTTTGTACGAATTTCTCAACGTAAATCCAAGACTCTGGAGGCCAGTCGAGTGACGCGCTAATTTCAATATTCTCAGTATACGCATTATACGAAATATCTGTACAACACGTCGTACATCTTGAAACTGATCGGTTGCATTTTTGTTCGTTTCAACGAGAAACAGGGACACATAGTACGGTAATATTGCTAATAAATCAATAACATTTAAACCCCCTTTGAAGAATTTCCATTTGTCCGGTGATGCACTGAATCTAAGTACATACTCGAGGGTAAACCAAGTTATGCATATTGCCTCCACCATCGCTAGTTGTGGATTATCTTGAAAATTTCCTCGCTCATCGTTCACTTGCATACTAGGAATGGTGTTGAGTGTTAGTGCAATCGTTGATAGCACAATAAACAGTATCGATATCACAGCTATCACCTGGAAATTTTACATCACCAATTTAAGTACTCCGCCACCAACAATTCATTCTTTTTTTTTTCTCAAATATATTCCCCTCCATCAGATACACCATCTCTTATCATTTTTGTTTGTGCCTCGCATACTTTGGAGGACCAAATTTCCTTCAGCCTCCACGGGTACATCGTCCCCATAACGTAGTATTTTTTCTACGATCACCTCATCATCTCAAATCAATCAATCGCCATGATTTTTTTATCATAATCCGCACTTCGGAGGGCGTTACGCTCTCTGTATATTACCATAACGCCTCAAGCTCTAATTACCTTTATATTAACTAGCTGGCGGCATTTGGAGATTTTTTTTTCACAATTGCGTGACAGCGGACATGGAAGCGTTATAAGCAATACACAGCCCATCCAGAGTTATTCATGGTTAATATTATTTATAACAGTGGGAAGCGTATTATGTACAGTCCTTCGTCAAGCAGATATTCAGAGAAATAAGGGAAAATTACTGGAGGAAATAAATAGAAAGCGTAATGAGGACTTCATTGTCAATGAATAAACTTGGAGGAACGAAAACCACTCCGAAGCCAAATCAGGCATTTACGAATCATCACCAATCATTCCCATTCATCAAATCAAATTCACAATGTCCACCTTCCAGTTATTTTTACGTCTCATGACAGATCATTCATCATCACGAGAACATCCAAATAATCCAGAGAATAAGGTACATCGTAACAGCATTCACACCATTCTCTTGGCTCTTTAATTCAACAATAATTTCAATAATTCAGGGAAGTTATCTATTTCAGGAGATTAATCGCAATTAAATAATTAATTAATTGAAATTTGAGTCAGTGTTTTGATAAATTTGTAAATTAGTTCTAGCAATTCATGGCATATTTTTTAAATCGAAGGAGATGACCGGATTAACGAGCCGAGACAGAGACACACCGATGTCCCCTCAAGACACCGTTCCAGGAGCAATCGTGTGGGTGTCGAAAAAAAAAAGGATAATTTTCCATTAAAAAAAATGACATCCAAGAGGATTGATTCCACACGATTACTCACACCAGGGGAGCGGTGCCGAGAGAAAGACCGCACGTGATACCTGGTAATTGCATATGAACCCTCCCATTATCACCAAAAGTACAATAAACACCGACGACAATTCGTAACGCAAGAATTGTGGAATTGTTCACCACGAAAAAGCTGTAGAACAAACAATTAATGATTGTTGCATCTGTAAACAGCACCTAGAAATTAAATGACAACATTACATGGGACTAAGACAATATCGATGACATAATCCTCGTAAGCACTCGAACTTTCAATTATTCCAATGGATCTTCTGATTCGTTGATTATTTATCCTTAACCAAAGCACCATTGACACATGAATTACAGAAAATAATTGATACATGACGAGGCAGTGTGCAGTGTGTGTAGCAATTGGCGGGCAATATTGATTGAAATAAAAAAATAATCTCATGAAAGCTGCGGAGAAGATTGAAGCGTTGATAAATAAAATCGGCCTGTTGTTTATTTATTCAGTCGTAGAGTTGTCACTGAATTGTCGCTGAATTGTCGCTGAATTGATAACGAATTAATCTGCCAAGAGATTGAGACTTGAAAATTGGTGAACGCCTTGGACACTGGTCTTGATGTTTAGCCGTGTAAATATAGAATTTAACAACCTGTACAATTAACCCATAAATCCGGGGGTCTGGTTTTTCAGTGTTGCAATATCAACAATCCCCCGAATTGTTTAAAAAGGCACGTGTTGAGAATTGAAGATAGAGTGGTAGGTGTATCGAAATGAAATGAGATAAATGAATAGAGATGGTACAAGAATTTGAAACAGTGATGAGAGAAAATGAAGTAATAAATATTAAAGTAAATTATAATTGTTGGATTATTGTTAATAAAAATTATGAGAAGATAAACTCACCCTGGCAGCGATGGACGTAGTGGGTTTTTCAAGCAAGTCCCAGAGCCACTTTTGATATTGCGCACACTTGCCGTCCCCGAATTCCTCCTCCTCTCTTTGCCGCAATGACTCGGCCTCCTTCCTCATCTCCTCATGTACATGCTCCTTTCTCTGATGATACTTATGCTGACAACAACTCTCTAAATACAATTCATCTACACCCCAGTATTCCAAATCATCGCTAAACGCTAATACACACATCTCATCGACTAAATGTAATTTACCAGTGCGATAAAAATTGAGAATTGAGCTAAATGATTTAGGATGACGATCGAAAAAATATTCATTATCGATCAATGAATAATCATCGCACAATTCGGTAATAGCCTCGTGGGTGTTGCAATCGCGTAAACGACCTAATCTCGTGTGGGGTAATCTCTCGAGTGTACGCCAGAGTACTTCGTGCTTAACACCACCTACATTTATTGATACTCGTCTATTGAGTGCCTTTGATCGCATGATCATGAAGGGCTCGGGGGGTAGAGAGGTCATGGATCGGGAGTAAGTCCGTTGCTGCATCTGAAGAGGAAGAGGAAGTGGTGGTGGTGGCGGTGCCGGTGGCGGTGGTAATGGCGGTGGTAATCCACCACCCGTGAATTGTGCATAACGTACTTCCTTCGTCCAACCGGTATTAATACCCGATTGCATCTGACCCGTTGTCTGGCTCGTTGTACTGTTGTCCAAGCCCAATGTATCGCTCGTCTGGACCATGTAACCACCTGAACACATTCCTGATACGAATCCATTGCCATTGCGATCCGCGTCCACTCCCGCTTCTTCCTCGTATCTTTTATCGTTCAGCATCAGCTTTTACCCTTTTATTTTTATCAGGGCTTATTCCTTGCTCTTGGTCACGGCGTGATGAGGGCATTTGCTCATCCGTCGGTGCACCACCTCTCTGCCACCGTCATTGATGTGGCTCTGGGCCACCTCATAATCTGCAAACAATCAGTCAACAATTTCATCGATTTCTCCCAAGATCGAGGGAACCACGGCCTCGGCTGCTTGCCCTATTTTTCAGCTAAAATTAACGTTTATCGATTTTTATGAAAATTACGCCTCAGCATTGATCGCTCTCGGTGTGGCCTCACTATTTTTACTATTTTCGCAAATTTCTTCAACAACAAATTCCAATTGGTTCTGTACATCGAGTACTCAACTCTTTCCCCAACTCTCGCTCGACACTGACATTTGATCCACCGGGGAACACATTTATTTCCCTTTTATCCCATTTTTCATCATCACTTCGCCAAATGCCACGTGCCGGGATTTTATTTTTATTAATAACGAAATATTTTCAACCGACGGATAAAAACCCTCCGAATTAATGTCTTTGTCGTTTGTTTTTTGCCATCGCTCCCCCGCGATCCGAGATCTTATTATTTTTTTTTTATAGAATGCGATTTTGGCGCGGAATCAAGTGTCAGTAGATCCCGCGCTAGTAGAAAATTCTTTCAGAGTCCGCCGTGACCTGGCGGCTGCCCCGAAATAACGAGTAATTATTGTTAAAAAAGAAAATGAGGGGAAAATATGTGAGACATACAATAGGCAAAGAGGAAACTGGTCTTTCGTAAGGGTCATTGGATTTGTAACTTATCGGTGTCTTCCAAGGGCCTTGACTCAAGGCCACTGCGGCCGTGGACCGGCCCCAGGGATAATTTTATCATCCGCGTCGACGACCACAGAAATTCTCACGACTCTTCTCGCAACAATGGCCCCACACGCCTATCGATACTTTCCACCAGCAGTTTTTTTTTTTAAATAAAATCAAGCCTTACGTCATCGACACCAGTCAACCGCCAATAGACAGCCAATAGACAGCCAATAGACCACCAATGTGACCACCGATCGCCGAGTGGAATTTTCCGACAATATTTTTTAACTCTAAAAAATCCAATTCCACGTTAATGAAAAATAGTTAATGAAAAAAAAAAATACATCTCGATTTGTTCTCTCACCTTCACCCACTAAATATCGTTCGAGTATAGATGAGTAAATAAATTGCGCAATCCTAGGTGAGGGAGTGCTGCATGAAGGTTGACCTTCGATTGGTAATTCCGAGGGTCTGAGAATGTTATATCCAGGAAACAACACGGGGAATTTCACCCGGTGGGAGGGGATCAAGGGGAAATAGTAACGTTTGCGTGCGGCTGAGGGGTGGCGTTCCACTGGCCTAAATAGACTGGGTTCAACGATTCGACCCCCGCAAGGCCGCCCCCCACGCCTCACCATACTTTCGGCTTTTTCTGCCCTACATACACCACCAATAATCATTAAAACGTTAATCCTCCCCCCTGGAATCACTCAATTCCACCATTGAAAAGCCCTCCAGTGCGGACTATTTTATCGATTGGAATCGCTCAACTCCTCGTGTTTAAATTCATCTGGGTAATTTTATTTGACCTCCCATGGGAGTGTCAACTGTCAAGGACGCGGGAAACACCACAGAACGATTGTCATCACCGGGTAATCGATTTTCTTTGTTTGATATCGAGTTAAAAGCCCTCGAGGAGAAATTCCAGGAGGCAATTCCCCTAGTGATCAGTTCTCACTCAATATCTCGTAACCTAGGACCGATACAAAAAATGTTGTCATCACCTTTTTTGCTGCTCTCATTGAGGGCTATAAGAAAGGTCATGACGATAAATTCGCTATCACCCTCAGCTCCGGAGATATTCGACATCGAGGGGATGAATAACTAATCGGGTTCCGTTATACCGTATCAATCATGGGAATTGTTATCAGAATAAAATTTCAGTCTCGATGCATTGATCCAGGTGCAGTGATTTAAATACATTGTCAGCCTCTGCGCAAACCCTCTGAGTAAATAAATACATGTATTCGAATCCAATAGCTTGGACAGTAAAAAAATTGGATATAAATAACTGGGGATTTGTTTTTTTATCCGCAATGTTGTATTTTTATGGGAGTGATGCTATTGTTGTGGTTTGCCCTCACCTTTTTAAGGAAGACACCAGGTTGTCACTTGAACCACGTCACTCACTGGTATGATCAACATATTTCGTCACGATAACTCAACAATCCAACGCCTTCAGGTGCTTGCGAAACGTGCTTTACCACTTGTTTCATGGGCGCTGCGAGCAACTATGAATTCTCTCCCCTATCGATTGCCATGTGTGCCCCAGCAGTCGCACGTTATTCCCTTTTTACGGTTTCCTCGGGGATTTTCACTGGAAAATCCATGGGCTCGCTCTAGCCAATTATCTGATAATTATCCGATATTGTAATTGATTTAAATTTTGAAAAGGGTAATTTGAGCGCTGTCTTTTTGAGTGATACCCAGTTGAGGTTTCAGTGGACTAGTCACGACTGAGACGCTCAGCTGCTTCTGCTGGCTCTCACTTCGTACGTTGTGACGGAGCCGCACTTGGACGAGAGCCAGCTTATGCGCCTGTCTTTTACCCCTGGACGATCAGCAGTTGTCGTGGCTTCTGGGGTGAATGGGGAAAATGGCCACTGGGAGGAGTAACTCGTGATTGAATCATTTGGAATTCTTTGTGACGTCGATGGATTCACCCCAGGGTGGCTCGATCGATGATTGTTTTCATCGCTCATTCGATAAAGCATCCCCTTACGCCGAATATCTCGCTATCCAGTGGAGTCAGCGGAACTTGGTAAGGATCTTTTTTGCGGAGCGGATAAGGATCTACAAATAAGGTCCAATAAATATTTTTCCATCTACGAGAGATTCGGAGATATTACCACTTGAATTTCGAGAAATTGGAGGAGTATTTTATGTTGACATGGACTTTTTAATTTCAAAATCATTCATAAAAACCTTGTTATCTCCGAGAGGCTCAGCCTAGGGATGAGTTATCTGTTCATGATATTGGGGGAGGGGGTGCCATTAGGTTTAATCAAAAGCTCTCTCGGTGATTCGTTTTGGGAGAATCGAGGGAGTGAGTTCACTGGGTTCTGGATCAGTACCAAATTTTGGATTCAAGTAATTTATTTTCGCCAAGTGATTAATACATCGTCGGTTCGATATCTCTGGGAGCACGTCGTCTCGCTCCAGGGGGTGGGTTTACCGTGAGTAAACTGGAGAAGACCAGCAACTGCTATCATGACACCGTTGTCTATGCAGAACCTCTCGTCGGTGGCGTAGAGCTTCGCTGAACGCTCACTGCACATTATTTCCATCATATTTTGCAAGCGCTCATTGCAGCCCACACCACCGACTATCAAGACCTCATTAGATGACACATGAGCCATAGCCCTTTCTGAAAAAAAATCAAAACTTTTAACTGAATTAACGAAGGAAAAAAAAATTAAAAAATGACTATTTCCACTATATCTTGAGGAATATTGAGTTTAGGATGAAATGCCTGGGGAATTTTTTTGAGCTGACAAAATTCTCCACAGGAGAAATATTTATAATTTTTTTCCTAAACCCTCTCCTTGCGGAGATATCCTCAATTCTATCCCCTAATTTTTTCACCTGTGATTTCTATTAACATTGCGAAGAGAGTTTCTTGGAGGGAGAAGCAGAGGTCCTCCTTCGTGTATTTTCCAGAGCTCAGCCAGTCCTCCAGACGTTCCTCGATGTGCGATAAAATTCCAGAGAATGACACGTCCATCCCTTTGACAGTATAAGGCAGAGGTGCAAGCTTATCACCCCTAGAAGACCCAAATATCGAATTATTGAGTGATTCAATGGATTTCAAATCGATTTACACCACAAGTTTTACTTCTTGGCCATCTGCTCGATATTGTACCCAGGACTGGGGTCATTGGACAGCATGAGAAGCCTGGCGAACCTATCCAGACAATTTCCAACAGCAATATCAATGGTCTCCCCAAAAATCCTGTACCTCTGCTCGGCGTAAGCAATAATCTGAGTGTTCCCTCCGGAGACATACAGAATCGTCGGATTCTCACTCCTGGTGATCAATCTCCCCATCTCAATGTGCCCAACACAATGATTGACACCAATAATCGGTTTATCATAAATTTGTGCGACTGTTCTGGCGACGAGAGCAAGAACTGTCAAGGGTCCACCCATTCCAGGACCTTTTGTATAACAGATCACGTCGACCTCCTTCATCGTCAATTTAGCATCCTCCAGGGCGTGCTTCAATACCTCAAGGACATGTGTCCTGTGGTGAACAGCTGTTTCTCTCGGTAGAAACCCTGGTGACACCATAATTCCATAAAATCCCCGAGTCGTGATAAATCGGGGACATTTAATTAAGACATTCAATCGGTGCAATTACCTTCACCGGGAGGTGTGACGTACGTTCTCCTGACATTCGACAGCACCTCATCGTCTCGAATAATCCCAATTCCAAGTTTATTCGCACTCCCCTCGAACCCAATAGCCACAACCATCTTCAATTGTCCTCAATAAGTTATTTATAGAATTGGACAGTAAACAATGGGATACACGTGTTATTTATCAACAAGAGGTCCAATTGTCTTGGGACTCTTGGAATAACCCCAGATACTCCACTGGCGCCATTTTTAAAGAGCGTGAATTCACATAAGCATCGTCAGGTGATTTTACCGACATGGAGTGAATTTTCGGAGCAATTTCGACGCCTTCACGTGTAAACAATCCTCGACATAGTGGATCATCATCCTCTGATCCATGTTAACAACGTCACGCGATTTTATTTTTGGTAAAAACAATAAAAATCAAACAGTTCGAGATTCGATAATCGCCGGTGTGTCTCGATAAAACAAAGTTACTCAGAACAGTTGAAACGTGAGTGTCCGAAGAGTTCTTAGATAAACTGTGGAACAAAGTCGTTCACTTTCTCCTCCCCAACGCAATTCCCGTAGAAAATGTCCGGGTATTGGAAATTATCGGTGCGCCACGTCAAACGATGGATTTTTATCGAGTTTTACATGCATGCTATTTACTGGTTATCAATGGATTATCGGTGATTGCGGAGTTTATATGGAGCTCTGTCTGTCTCGTTCGATGAGTCTGACTCTCGATGATGATGAGTTGACACCAATGAAAATATAATCCTGTGGATTTTCGGGATTTTGTCAATGGAGATGGCTTTTCTTTCGGCGGAATTGACGACGTCGACGGGCGTATGACGTCTCCGGTGGAGGACATCGCCGTCGGATGACCTTGTCCTCCATTTTTTTTTTCGAACGACATGGCGCGAATTATTCAAATTCAAGCCAACTCTCGGGTTGTATGAAATGCGGTTTTTCTTTTTGATTTTTTGGGATTGTTCAGGTGTGGCAGGAGATGCATTACTCGGGTAATGCCGAGGTCGTGTACGGGTTTTTTTCCGGTTCGTTGCCCCCTGCCAATTCATATCATTGTCACGGGTTTTCGATGAGTCTCGACGGTATCGCGGTATGATAGACAGAGCGCGGTAAAATTCATGAAGTATATAAGTGCGTTTACTGGTTTTGTTTGTGAATGTATGAATAATACGTTTGTAAAACGACAAATCTTCAGTGACATGAGAACTAACGTCTTACAATTTACTCGCAGGAGTTTTTTTTTGGGATTGAAGGGGCGAGCAAATCGTCAACGAACACCTGAGGGATATCGATTTCCGGTAAGTACTTTTGATTTTTTATTCGATTTTCAGATTTTCCCGGGTAATTCAAGAATTATGGGAAATATTTAAATTTGCATGGGGACTTTTTTGTAGCTCTTGAAATTTTCTCCAGAAAAAGTCGATATGAAAATTCCGCTATCTCCCATGGATTTGGAGATATAGATAAAAAACAAAAGGACAAAGTCAATAGTCGATAAATAAACCGCTTCAAATGAATTCCGCTCTTCCCCGAGAAATATCTCCGAATTTGAAAGAGATACCCCAATTTTGGTAATGACCTTTTTCGTAGAGCGACCTGAGCCCTCAAAAAACTCTTATGACAAAAATAGTCCTATCTGTCTTGGCTTCCAAGTTATTCATAAAAACGTATCTGAAAAATTAATGCGACGTGAAAATAAATGCCCAGACATGTCAAGGGACTACGACAGTCGTCGTCGTACCGGGACGAGTTCCAGCAAGATGCGAATGGACACAAGCATCTCCCAGACTCGTCCCCACGGCGAGTCGTCTTCCTCAAAGCGCAAGGAGCTGGACAGCGTAATGCGCAAAGCGCGGGAATCCCAGTCCTCCTACTGGAACAAGAAACTCCTGGAGGCTGAAGAGCGTGATCCAAACAGGTGGCGACACAGTGGCTACAAGGAGCTGTACGTAGGTGGTAACAGCAGTGAAACCAGCAGGAATCATCCCCGGAGTCCAAGAAGCCCTCGGCCACGATCTCCATACAGTCCTCGTGCACGATCACCACGGGAACGTTTGCACACGAGAGGCAGAGCCGCCCGTAGCCCCAGTACATTTTCCACCTGTTCGGACAGGTCGTGTTCACTTTGTTTGCCGAGGGATCGCCGTCGCGTAAAACCCCAATCACGAAAGGAGCACGTCGTTGCTAGCTCCTCGAGGGCTATACCGCGATCAAGGCCACGTTCCCCGCCGCCGATACCGCGTCCGCGTACACCACCCCCAGCCCCCCAGCCACCCTCCAGACATCAAAAGGAGTACAAGGCCATGAGGGAGAAAGAGGCTGCCAAGGCCAGAAGGAAGGAAAAGCATCACAGGGTACCAGAGGATCCCAGAGTGCCTGAACCCATTCCTTTGGTAACAGATCCTTTTTCTTTATGATTATTAATTAAATTGCACCAGAAGATGATTATAGCCCGGGGCTCGATTCCGAAAATTCTAAGCCCAGGACCGGAGAAAATGTAGCGATGAAAAAATAGTAATTCCATTTGCTTCAGATGAGAAAACCGGTGAAGATTGAGAAGACTCACACGAGTCATCCTCCACCGACTGCAGTAATTCACGCACAAGCGGAGTCTTCAGGTAGTGAAGACAGTGACAGCTCTTCCAATACCTCCAACGTGGGTCCCCCGAAGATGACGTTGTCAGAGCGGTGAGTCATGGTTGTCTCATTCCATCGAATATTCGTTTATCTATCAAAAATTGTCTTCCAGGTTTGGAAAAATGGCACAATGGAGTGTAGATCGCAGGGATATGGAGAACATGCGTATTACAAAGGACGGTGAGAACGCCATGAAAGTCGTAATCGAGGGAGAGGAGAGGATTGCACGATTAGGGTATGATTCTCCACCCCCTGGCCACTATCCGGAGTCACTGCTGGCCCAGGGCCCCAGGGGTCTCGACTGCTGGGACGACGTGAGGGTGCGATACGACTACTACAAGGCGCGTGGATACTTACGTGATCTCACTCTCGACGATTACGTCAAGTGGGAGGAATGGTGGTACAAGTATCAGGAGTGGCTCGAGGCCGAGCGATTTTATGAGCAGTGGGCAGCTGCTGGTGCACGTGGAGGTGGTGGCAGAAAGCGACGGGGAAGACGCAATAATCCTAATCACTGATCAATTATATCGTTTTTTTTTACGGAACAATCGTTGAGCAATCACAAGCCAATTCATCTATTTCATTATTTAATACGTGAGCATATGTGACTCTCGTGCTTAGATTATTGATATGTAAATGTGCACGAATGTAATAAACTATATGCTGAGCTGAAAATCTGACAAGTACATTGAATTAAATTATGGAGATATCGTTTAGAAATAAATTTGTTGAAATCAAGAAAATTCAAATTTACCGCGAATTTTATGGCAGCACTGCTTTATCGACACCTCCAGTGTTGTCAGGTGTCTGCCAACATGGAGAATCGAGTCTAGAGTATTTTCATGGTCCTAGGGGAATACAAGCCACGAAGAAGGGCGAGAAGGGGAGAAGGGGGTGGTTGCAGCCGATAGTTGCGTCTGGTCCACAGCTCAGATGCTGCACAAAGGCGTTCACTTGAAAAATCTTTAAAAAAAGCCCTGCCCCTGTAAATTAAACCCCTCCAGTGATCATTCCCCACGAAAACCTGAAACGAAAATCTGGTAGTGCTCACAGTGACGATTAAATCGTGTGCATCAGCCCTTCCATTGCATTTTTATGAGATGAATCTCAGTGAATATCATCGCATCAATAAAATATCACGGTGCCACTGAAAGTTATTCTTCCCTTTGAATTTTTCCCCTGCTCTGTTATCACTGACAACAATCGACCGCTCGATTTTTTGAATATTAATGCACCTGTGGGAATAATAACAGAGAAAAAAACAGTTAAAATGTCGGCGGATACTACAGTGATTTTTGCCAAGCTGGAGGCACTCAAGGATATAAGGTATTTTCAGTATGAATACATTTCCCAGATATTTCAGAAGCCCCTCCCTCCGAGAGAAAGACCGAGAAAAATCGGATATAGTTTCCCCATCTATTCGAGGATTTCCATAGGATTAACAGTCCATAAATTTCCCAGCTATTCCAGTCCCTATTGATTTTCCAAGAATTTCCGCTCCTCAATAACATAAAGATTACCATTTCCGTTATTTCTGATCTTTCAATTTCACCAGAGTGTTCACTCGGCATGTATATTACCCTTCCCCAGATCAAAGACATTGCAATTAGAGAAGATGAAGCAGAGAATAATTCAGGAGGTTGAGCAAACCGAGCACGAGGACAAGTGCCTGATGGATTACAAACAAGAGATGGAGTTGCTCATGCAGGAGAAAATGGCACACGTTGAGGAACTGCGTCAAATTCATGCTGACATTCATACCGTAAGTATTACCAGGTCCCCATAAAAATTCTCATAATTTTATTCGAGCAATTTGGCTACTGCGTGGGTGTGTGCTTTTACTTGATCAAACGACTTTTCCTCAGATGGAGTCTGTCATAAAACAAGCGGAAGAGGCGAGAACCCGTGCCAGGGAGCACGCTAAAATACTCCACAATAACGAATATCAACCGCTGAAACATGACATTGATAGAATGCGTAGGGAATATTTGGGCCTTGAGAGACTGCCAGAACTTTACGAGACTGAGACTGATTTAATATCACCGGAGTAAGTCAGCGTTAATCATCCAATTTGTTTTTATTATTATTTTATTATCCCTCAAAGCGCGTAATGACGTCTGTCGATCTAAAAATTCATGGATTTTTCTTTCCTCTCGTTCTGTCTGAACACCAGCTATTTTGATCGACCAATGCAGAAGGCTGAGTGGAGGGTGGAGGTTCGTGGGGATGATTTAATGCAGCCACTGGGATTGCATGGCCATCCTGGACATCCAGGTGCATCAACACCATTTTTAGCTCCTCAACCTCTCCAGGGGCCCAGCAAATCCGAGCCCAGGCCTCTGCCACCTGCCACAGGCCCCCCTGCTCCCACATTCAGGTACCACTGGTATAACTCATTTCATATCATTTTTATTAATGAATACTTTCTGCTGATTGGGGCATTATTCATTGGAAATAACATTTTGATAGATTTTTGTTCCACTCATCCGGTGTGAAATAGTAATGCCTCAGGGGCAGAGCCACACGGTGGACGATAAATAATAAATTAATAAACAATTTCAGGCAACAACCGCCACCCATGAAGTCCTGTTTATCCTGTCATCAGCAGATTCACAGGAATGCACCCATTTGTCCTCTCTGCAAGGCCAAGTCTCGATCTCGTAATCCCAAGAAACCGAAGAAAAAGGATTGAGCGAGGAATTAATTTTTTACTGCTGGAAATTCTCTTTTTTTTTGAGTATTATTTCCTGGGTTTCACTATTGTAATCAATTTGTAGAATTTTTCATTAACAATAGGGCAATTAATCGTGTATTCACGGTTTAATATTTACAGCCAGTATGTTTCTAGGGAACATAATCAATTTTTTACCGTCTGATTTGTATTACTCATAAGCATGTACTCCTCGTTTTTTAAATAAACGAAAAAAAACATTAAAAATTTACCCGATTGACATAAATCATTCACCACTAATTACATTCCCAAGATTTATATTCCCCGACAGTATGTCACACTGATTTGCATACTCGTTAATCATGGAGTCGTCATATTTCCCAATAAAACCTCAGCCAATAGCTGTCGACAATAATTCTTCTTGCAATAGACAAAAATCCCATTGACTCGCCAGAAATCGCCCCCAGAGTCCAAAACGGAATAATTCCTGGCCACCCATCTCTCGCAATGATTTATATTCTCAAACAGTCGGTTCTGCTTTTTTTTTGACAGCTCAAAAAATATATAGAATAAAATATATTTCAGGTATTGTTGGCTCGCTCGTTAATTCCAGGGTAGAATGCATGTCACGCGATGCACCTCGAGCACCAGCACGTAACAATACGCCGATAGGATTGCAAAGGTGTGAGGTGCATATGCCACGAGGTGGGGGTGCTCGATATCTCGTGTAGAGCCTCGTTTTGGATGTTGGCTAAAGGCTGGAGTAATTAACTTTAACGTTGTAAATAAGTGCAAGGTAGGATGGAAAGATCTACAAAACATGAATGTTTGACGTGGACGAATGATACCCGAAGGGGGGTGGGAGGGGGTCAAGGACGTTCTTATCAAATATTTCTGAGCGACTATTATCCTAATCGGTGTTGGCGATGTAGGATGAAAATACAATGGTGTCACCTCGCTCAGTATTTTTTTCATCTATTTTCAGAATCAACCCAAATTCCCCAAAATATTTACATCAATGGAATGATTTATTTTATATAATATTTACATCAATGGAATGATTTATTTTATATAATATTTACATCAATGGATTGATTTATTTTATATAATCTTTACACAAATTCATTTGAAATAAAAACGGTGAAATGAATTGGAGACGTCAGACGATTCGAAATGGAATCGTTAATTCTTTTCTGTAGTCAGAGACCTGAGGAATGGTAAAAGAAGTAATAAACAAGTTATTTATTTGTGGTGAGTGCAGCAGCGGTGGATCGACGTTGAAGTTTTGAGTGATCCTCGGGACAGTTCATCGTGGACGTCGGCTCTAAACGGATCAATCTCGGGATTCCGTCGACGGTTTATGATGGAATAAAGTAGAGGGCTTTCATTGATAAATACCACGTGTTTACGTTTATTCATGGCTTGTCGGTTGTACAACCGTGCCATTGGAAATAATTTTTCTCACATCAACCGGTGAGTAATGTTACAAATACTTGGGTTAATGACGCGGATTCAATTACGTCAGTCGACTGTAACGCACATTTGAGGCGATTAAAGGAGAAGTGATAGTGAACGATCGCGACGTGGATGGTGTGAAAAGAGGGATGGGACAGGAGTATCGTCTCAATATATCCAGGTGACTGAATGATCGATCATCGATCTGCGGAAGGAGAAATAAAAAGTGAACAGTTTCCACTGATCGGTCCACGGATACATTCGACCCCCGACCCGCACCAAATGAGATTAAATTCCACGAGGTGAGGTGACACGCCGTCCTGGTTTCACCTTTTGCATTTCTCCATTCACATCCCACGGAAAAACTGGGGTGAGTCAAGACCAATGTATTTCCACAACTACAACTACAAACACAACCACAACGAGATAATCCAAGAATTTTTCCCATTTTTCAATTCAATCTCAACAAAATCCCAATTAATCTCCGGACCTATTGATTTTATCAAAAAATATCAAAAGTCATTTTCTCTTCAGAATTAAATAGTCTCCCAAAAAGTCCTCTACCATTTCCACGTAGGATGGATATCTTTCCAGATAAAACGACATTTCACTGGATATGTGTCAGTGGGACAATTGGCAGATCGACAAATTAATCGTAAAATTCAAATTCAGCAATAATAACACCGGGAAATGATGTGGGTGGTTGTAATTTCGATGAAAATGGATTGGCTGGAATTTTCGTCTACGTGATGAGCGCTGATTGAGTGTGGAAACAATAAACGATGGGTATTTCTCTCCCCAGAATGTCAGCAACGACATTGATTTACAAAGAGGGGATTACCCATTACGATATGAGGGGCTTGATTGGTGCACCCCGGGAAATATCAAATCGTAATTTGATAATCCCTCGGTAATTTCAATTGAATCCACTGTAATGGTTAAAGTTCACGTTGCACTATTGCTCCAGTTGAGTGAACAAATGGCCGTGTGACATCGATGTCTGTTTTGGTGGATAAATTATATCAGGTACATCTCGCATTCATGATCTGCATCACTGCGTGCGACATGCTCGGAGAAGTTACTCCGGATATCACATATATATCAGATATATCAGATATATCAGATATATGATATATATCAGATAGCCGTTGTAGTCGTGGACTGTTTGCCCGTATTAAATCTACGGGCTTCATTCACGTGTGGCAACCTTCAAATTTCAATAATCGATTTCTCTCGGTTCGTGTCGCGAACGTGGAAAACCGCAAGGCTCATGCATCAAAGGGTCATCACTGTATCAATTTTTATTTTTTATTTTCATTAACAAAGATTCCTTTTTTTTCCACCTCTCGACGAAAATTTTTACTCTATTCCCGTGGGAATGAAAAACTATTCTGTTCATCGCGGACGGCATCGATTCGTTCCTCAATGAATGCACATTTAGTCGGTGGAATGCATTCGCGTGGATAAAAAAGGGATAAAACAGCTGGGAGAGATGGAAAAAATAAAATACAAGAAATACAGCGATGAAAAAAGTCCGGAGTCATCGATCCGTCTCTTATTCAATCGTGTGAGACAGGGGCTCGTGCCGAATATATTTTTTACAGACATAATCATCAAAATTGATGATCTCAGCGAATTTTTTTGCTCTTTTTTTTTCATCACTTTTTCGCATTCAATGACGCAGGATTTTGCACGCACTATCCAATACCATCACTTATCCATTGAAATAATAGATTGCGGTGAATAAACTCGAGTAACGATATTTAAACAATCGAAAATTAATCTCCCGAACGGTATACCCCTGCGAAAACACCCCTCACCCCCTGGGATTATCGTGGCACTCTCGAGAACCCCATTGAATTTTCCGTAAACCTGCAATTGAAACTTTGCATTGAACAATAATCTAACGAGAGTAAGTGAACCGTTTATTCATCAGCCATTACTACTCGTCGCTAATTACCGAGGAATATCCAATGAATTGTCGAAACTTCAGGAGGACGCATCCCTTTGAGGAAAATACCTAGGTAAAACCCTCCCAGCACTCAATAAATTTCAAAATAATTAAATTGCCATGAGCTCTCGTAACCGACGTACCTCCAGCTACAACACGATATTCTCAACAGATGAATAAACCCACGAGTTAATTAAACGAGTGATAGCTAATTCAATATTTGCAACGGGTTGAAAATGAATTAGAAAAATACAATGTCAATGGGAAATGGAGTTGGCGTGCAAGGGCCATCGTCGGACTATTGCTTTTATCCACTCGACTGGGGATTCTTTCAAGTTATATCGTTTTCCGTCTACTCTTTTCTCCGTATATATACGATATATCGTAATCGAAGTAAAGCGGAGCACTCGACTCCATCCATCCCATCTCTATTATATAGACTGGGTGGAAAAAAATAAAAAAATCTATGTATCACGGGTATATATATAATAGGAGGATCATTTCTCGTTGCAACCAGAAAGCCCCACCCACGTAGAAGCCCTGGGGAGTATCGTAACCCCTTACCTCTGCATCCTCTGCACCCCCTGCACCCCCTGCACCCTCTGCATCCTCTGCACCCTCTGCAACCTCTGCAACCTCTGCACCCTCTGCACCATCTTCCACCACCCCCTGCTATTTTCCACCCCTCTATTACTCCAATCGTCATCGGTATTTCGGCACCGGATTATTCCGAGTGTCATTCACACTCGGTGCTCGCTATTTAAGCTTCAACAGGTGTCGATGAATTTTTATCTCCAGGAAATGCACGTGCATCCCCTTTATTTTTTCATTAAACGTAAACAGCAAATGTCAAGTGTAATTTCGGAATTTTAATTGATATAATAGATCGATGCCGGATCGTCAATTCCGGGAAAATTTTTAAATAGAAAATTTAAAAGAACAAAATTAAAATTTTATCTCTCCCTTTTATTAAATTTTCGAATTTATTTTTGATATTTTTCTACAACTCTGTCCACGCCTCGTGCGTTCTACGGGTGAGTGTATTTTCAGAAATATCCTGGACTGTTATTTCGGTGTATTTACATTTCATAGAAAAAAAAAAATACTTGAATTTCAATTGCACTTACTCCGTGAAAAGTGTTTGTTCATTTGGGAGAGTTCACAGTAAACAAAACTGGAGCGATAGCTGGAGTTAAATTCAAACGGGCATTGATACACTTGGTTGACAGGGGGTACCGGGGGAGGGGTACCGATGGGGTACCAGGGGATGAACCTGGAGTTAGATTTTGTCACTGACAGCTGGAGTTTCCGCACAGTCTCATTGACATTCAGCTCCTCTCAGTCGATTCTACAACTTGTCCTATTCTCCTCCCACGCCCCTCGTTTGCAACTCTTTATTTCTCCTGAGGCAATCACTGAATTCCCCCTTTCCTCCCCATACCACCCGGTTAATTCGAAGATACGAGAGGGATGATGGAGACGACCTAATTGGCCGATTGTTGACGGCGCGTGCGCCCTCCATTCCATTTTTCATTATTTCTCCTTTAGCCGTTTTTTTTATTATTATTTTTTTTCGCCTTTTGTTTTCCCCGGCTTTTGAAAACACAATGCATCATCCTGGAGTGCATACACCGGTGATATACGCGATATACGCGACTTATCGTTCAACAGTATCTCCACGGTGCCCAGAATTCCCGCAAAACAAGAGCTCGCGGAATTTTATCCCTCGTCGTCGCACCTGAAAAAAAAAATCAGAGTGAAATGAAATAAAAATACGTTAACCAGAGCTATGATAAATAATTCTCATTTCAATTCAGGGGGATATGAAAATATGAATTTCAAGGGGGAGTCTCGGTGAAACGTTGATAATAGACGCTGCTGGAGACAGACGGCAAATTTCCGATTCTACAATCGGGGGAGTTGACTACCCTCTATTTTTCCTACCCTCCCGATCCAGTGGGTGAATTAATAATTGATTAATCGTGCACACGGAGCTCGCAAATAGCTCGTGGAATTTAACTCGATTATTTTATATAAATAGAATGAATTCGTTGCCCGAGTAGTCGGTGAGATGATTCAGGGGACGAGTGAAGCTCAATTAATAATAGAGGTCATCCAAAAATTAATTAACACTGGGGGAAAAAAAAAAAAAATGGAAAATTGAAGGTAATGGAGTATTGGATGGATAGATTGGAGGGAGCGGGCGAGCGAGGATAATTGGTTGTGGAAGTGGATGATAGCGAGATCCAGGAAAGGTTGACTGGCTTCAATAAGGAATACAGGGGGTTTAGGTGGTGAGGGTGGAGAGGGTGATGAGGGTGTAGAGGGATGTAAAGGATGGGGTATAATGGTGCGGTTGGGGGTAGGAGTAGTTGGGCTCATGGGGTGGGTGATATCAAGTGGGCCAAAAGCTCTGAATCTGCTACGTCATCAGCACAACGTCGAGAGTATCAGGGGGTGGTTTTGAAATGGAGGGTGCTTAGCACGCGAGTTCGCGAGCCCCTGAGACGTTGGAAGGCCATTTCATAAGCTATTAATTTTATCCAAGCCACCCCTCCTCATCAACCCACCCCCTTCTCCCTTCCTCCAGTGACCTTGAGTTTAATTCGACGGTGAACAATGCATGGAGATAATCTTTTTTTGCTCTTTAGTTAATTTTAATTGGCGGAAGTCGAGGGATGGGGGAAGTGTGACAGGTGGATGGGGTGGATGGGGTTGAGGGGGTTGAGGGGGTTGAGGGGGTTGAGGGGGTTGAGGGGGTTGAGGGTGTTGAGGCGGTGAATATGTGGGGCAGTTTGATTGAAGAGATTCGGAAATGTGTATTTTTTTTTTTATGGTCGTTCAACCCGGAGATTGACGGGAATCACTGGTGCAGGAGGAATTATTTGTGTTATACTCGTCCACTCGAGTGATTTCCCTCGTAATCCGGTACTCGAGGCATTTCAGAAATAACAGAGAAACCGATAAGTATCCGATAGGGTTCTATCGTATTTAACAATGGAATTGCTGTCGAGGCTAGACAAATAAAAAAGTGTTCGTTATCTTCGGGGCTTTGGCTTTCAATCGAGACGCACAATTCAGTGAATACCCAGTTGTTCCTCTTGGAGATAGTGGAGGAAATTCAGGGGGCACATCATTACCGGTTTGTAGACGAGAATTTCGGTTATATTCCTGATATCTCGGTCTCTATCAGTTTGCGCGATAGATTGTATTTTTTAGAGGTTTTTTTTTACAATATATCTCTTGACATTTGCTCGCGAGTGTTGAATTTTTTTTTGAGGACACATTTAACGCTTGCCGGATTCACTTTTTGCGGAGGTGCTGATGAGAATTGTCAAAGGGAAAAATTGAAAGAAAAATGAAGGGAGAGTGGAGAATGGGTGATGTAGGGGATGTGAAAATCGAGTGCAGTGGGAGGATTCGGGTGGGTGGAAGTGGGTGGAAGTGGGTGGAAGTGGGTGGAAGTGGGTGGTGGGTGAATAGTTGAATGAACAGGAACATTTGTTTGTATCTGATTGTGGTGACGATGAATATCAGCGATTGACCAGTGATAAATAAAAACTGAACATTGATATAACTGAGCAATTGATAATGGAATATTTCCAGAACTTAAACTAAAAATTGCTGATGAAATATTCTAAAATATTGGTGAACATCCGGTGGGATATTTTTCCTCAGGATTGAATGCGCAGAATTCTGATGAATTTACATTATTTCTCTGTTATACCGCGGTGATATGAGATTTCGGGAGGGATAGATGGGATGGAAGAATGCTTACATAAATCTTTTTCCGGATATTCAATCAGAGTGATACCACAAAATCCCACATAGAATGAAAGATTTTCGGGTGGGGGAGTTATCGATGGTACATTGAAATTCGTCGAACTGACGTTGAACCGTTGCTCTCTGAGCGAGAGGTTTAAGTCTTGAAAATGGATGAGCAGATGGTGATTGCGTTACTCGTGTGGTCAGTGATAAATCTCAGCGAGATTGCCGACGAGGAGAAATTGGAGATGCCGATCTCCAGTCCCATCTCCCAAGCCACTCAACTCGAGTCCGTGACTCCACAGTTACCAAGAATTCGTGGATTTCACCAGCCCCCGGCATATCATCCCCTCGCTATAATAATAATGTTGTACCGGGTGAGGGGTTGGTGAACAATACAGAGGGATCGTGTCGTTGTGGAATTCAGAATATTTCTCGGTACAACGGGGGAATGAGAGACGACATCATTCGTCTTGGAGATGCTGCCAGAGTATTGTCGACTTAGCATACCCCGGTATTTCACTCACCTGATACTATTTTCATAATTTTCCTGAGGGTTCGACACTGTCACTCGAAATATATCTCTTCCATATTTTTCTTTGAGAATCACCGAAGAACAGATGAAGAATTGTTGACGCGTGTCGCAATAGCTGTAAAATTTCAGTGAGAATATTTTTAAGAATTTTAAGAACTAATAATTCCAGGTGGTATTAAATCTCGAGAGGCTTACCATTAAATCACAACAACATTGCATTCAAATCACATCTCATTAACAATTCCCCGGAATTTCCAATAAACTCGACAAATATTGTCACACATTGATCCCCCAGTGGATCAGATAAAATGTTGACTCTTTGTATCGAATCAGGTGACGAGATTCCATCATATCGGGGGCGGTGGGAAATAAAAATCCGTTCAGTTCCAGAGTGAAACGTTACAGTGATTTTTTTTTTTCGCCCACGGAAACAAACATAAAGCAGTTAAAGAGAGAAACGAGAGGAGCTGGCATGAGGCAGGAAATTAAGAGACAGTGGAAGAGAAAATGTTTTCTTTACCAAAAACCGAGAGATCTCCCTGGGCTCCATCCCTTTGTGGTGGCGTTTAGCAGACGTGGGGAATTACACACGACTCACATACCCGAGACGATTATTTTTCAATTTTTTTTTTTTACCCCTTTCCACTCCACTTTCGTCGAAATGTCATAGAGCAAAGAGAAAAAGCAATTCGTCACGTTGACGTTGACTCCTCTTATATATATTTTTTCAACTCTCCAACATCATTCGCCGACTCTGCACATAACTCTCATCCCACCACATAAAGTGCTACAGAATTCTCGAATGGCACTCGCTCGAGTGTTATACCAAAGGAAATCGATAGAGTCAACCATTGAATATCATACGAATGTTATATTGGAGACAATTGCTTTTGTGGGGTACATTATAACGTCAATGTGCACTCGAAGCGACAATAAACCTGTTATGAAAGCACAACGGATATTTTTTATTATTTTCAATGACCAGAGTCGCAGGAATAAATTTGTCTTAACAAATTTTTCTGATTATTCCACCCTTATGGAGTGTCATATCCATGAAGAGGTATAACTACTCATTACACGATTATCCAGCTAATGAGGATTGAGCTAGATTTTCTCATCGAGATAGTTAATGAACCTTAATGCATCTATTTCGCTAATTGCTCAGTCGGTTCAGGGTCGGATGAGGGGATTAATTTTTGAGGGGTCGCCTAGATGACTACCTTTCTCTCTGAATATTTAAAAAAGGTCAACTGTGATTGCAAAAAAGGATAATTATCTCGGGAGTTGAAGACGCAGTTGAAGTTTTGCCGTTTTAATGATGGAAATTTTCAATTCCCCAAGGTGTACCAGGTATTAGCATAATTTTTATTTAATTTATTGGGATTGTTTATTTTTTTTTTTAATGAGGTGGGGTTATTTAGTGTTGCGAGGGGGTGGAAGGAGTGGAAGGGGTGGAGTGGTAAGGGATGAATTGCAAAATGTCGTGTGCGAATGTACACCGGAGGATCTCATCCCACCCGACGATAACTTCCGCCTCGGTGACTATGACTTGGACCATTTCAATTTCCTTGCGCCTTACCCCAGTCCATTCTTTCGCCCAACGACAAAAGCCATTCTACCCCTCGACTTTCCTTGACCCCCTTTTTTATTCTCTCTTTATTCATTTTTATATAGATTCTCTCCTCGCTTTGTTCCGTTTATTGTATCTCGGCTCCTCCACTCGAGTCATTTATCAATTCTGTAAAGGTGTTTTTTATTTTATTTTTTTTCTTATGGATTTCGAGTTTAGTTCGTATTGAGATTCGATACCGATCGTTTTGTTCACCAGATGTGGAACGAGGTGACGGATGTAATGAGGGGTTATTTTCCCTCAGGCCCCTCAGGCCCCTCAGGCCCCTCAGGCCCCAATCCGCCCGTTTTTCCGGGACTTTCCCCGAAATTCCCGAAAATTTCCCGATAAAAAAAATCACGATAACAAATAATTAATCAAATTTAATTATCATCATAAAAATTTTGTAACAAATTCATTATTTTTTACAGAAAAAAATTTTTCAAGTCCTCTCGTTCCATTTTTTTGTAACCCATTATTTTTGTTATGCAACATTGAAATGTAAATAACATGTAGATAAAATCGAGTGAGTGAATTTTCAGTAAATTATCATGCGTAGAGGGAAGTGAATAAAAAACGAGTGATTAATGGAGATTTGTCTGTCGATATTCACTCGAAAAAAAAAACCCCCTCATTACCAACATCAGGGTGACACAATAAATATCCACCTGAAGGGCCCTCAGCTCGATTCTCTCCTCATCTGTTATTCCAAGTGGCGTATTATATTAAATGAGAGAACCTGAATTTTCCATGCTCGTGAACAATCATAATTCCAAACAATAGCGTGTCGAGAATTTCATGGAGAATTTTTTAACGGATGTGAAATAAATTGGGTTGCCATCAGCGATCGGAAAATCGGATGGCAAAAATATCCATAAAAATGTAGGGATTAGGAGTGCCAGTCATTCACTGTTAAAAATACATTGAGCAGGTCTTATCTGTCCCCCTGAATAAATTGAGGATAAGATGTAAAAAGATATTCCCGGGGAGATGAGTAAAAAGAATTCACGTCTCCGTGACTATTTTCACCCCTTTCCCCGGGGGTTAAAAAAATTTGCGGGGAGAAAAAGAGATTAACAGAGTAGGAAAAAAAAAAATCGAGGGCTCTTGGCCCCGGGGTGAATCTGAAAGCGTTAGTGTATCGATTTACTCAAGTAACCGGTCACCGTTTGATACGTATAAATAGACAGGAAGGAAATACCCCTGTGTCGACATTTTTATTTTCCCCTGAATGAAATGACTGGCTCCTCTCCACGAGGGAGATAAACACAATTTTAAATAGAACCAACCGCAAATAAAATAATTCTCGTTTTCTCCGCGAATTTCATGTTTCATATTTAAACAACTGTAATTTATATTTTCCGCGACGCATTCCCAAGAATTCGGAATTCACCGGAATTCGAGGAGAAAAGACGATGGTTAAACAATTTAATTATTTTAGTAAAAAAAAAGAAAGATTAATATAAAGGACGCGTGATTTTCCACTAAATTATTCAGAGAAAATTAAAAAAATATGACTCCGCGAATTAATTAATTAAGAAAATAGCGTAAAAATTGTGAGAAAGTGAATTATCGCGGTGTTTCGCTATTTTCCGAGTTTCTCTCCCCTGGAAATTCTATTCCCCCTCATTCCATCATATAAATTCCTAGTTTGCATGAATGAGCGTCATAAAGTGGCAGCTCCCAGCAAAAATAAATGTTCCCGTAAAGTAGATATGCAGAACGCATAATAAATGCGCCATTTCCAAGAACAGCTCAAGCCCGTTGTAAAATTAATGTTTCCATTACTTAAATCAATTCAAAGAGATTAATTCCTTCGATCTTCCGTGCCCTGGGGATGGTCTTCATGATATCAGCGACTCACAAGAGCAACAGAAGTTGGAAAATGTGATTTTTCCATTTTTCAATGTGAGAATAAAATTGAAAACTCATACTTTTTCACGCGTCGGTACATTAATTACACTAATGTACCCGTCTCACTTGCCAACTGCACGTCGACAACTTTGCTACCGCAAAAATACTTTTTACCCCCCTTATTTCTCACTCGACTCCATTACTCCGTGAATAACGAGAATGCACGTCTGCAATGGCTTTCACCATTTCTATTTTTCCACAATTTTTTTTTTTAAACCACCACCAGTTCTAACAATCCCCGCTACCAACTTTTCTCATCATTTCCCCATGCCTCCTGGAATATCCAAAAGTGCCGGGTAAGGGATGAGATCTTAATGAGAAAAAGTCAAGTAAACTTGAGGATTTATTATCGGCGATATTTTGTCGCTGGGTAATGGTAATATTCAAATTATTCATTGGTCCCCTGAAGAGAATCCAATTAGGGATCCGACAGAAAAATGAAAATCGGTAGAAGAAAAGTTTTCCGGACTTAATAATTCAAATATAATATGTTTTCCTCAGTCATTCTAATTTCCCCTCACGACCTTCAATCCAGGACCAGATCGGCAACAAACAAAAAAGCAAAAATAAAACGATATAATAATTTAAAAACGGTAATAACTCGGAAAAGCAATCGGTCAGTAGGACAATTGGAAAATTGACCAATCCCGGAATTAATCCCACCGATGACTCCCCACTGGCCATCGGGATGAGATATCACTGATTAAAACGAATGAGTTATTTTTATTTTCAATGAAACCAATACACCTCTAGTTAACGCGATAATTGACGAAGAGCATTGAATCATCCCCAAGGAATCATCGGATAAAGTTTCTTCATACCACAAGTGCCACATGTTGACCCAAAAAGAAAATAAGAATTTATAAAATTTATAAAGTGCCAGGGTTGTCTCATCTCCATTGGAAATTCTCAACCCACTCCACCTTCCACGAGAAAAAGAATCTCTGGACGTCAGACGGCAAAGTTAAATAATGAAATGCATAGGTGGTAGGGGATAGGTGGTAAATCCGAGGTAAAAGCCACATGCAATTACCAACATTTCATTTCCGTTCCAGTGACCAAGTCCCTGTGTGCACTTGGTCATTCCCCAACTTCCATTTCCCATAGCTTCAGTCTACGTGAATACATCATCTAGATTCTAGATTCTAGGAGGTGGGTAACACCAACATCCTGGTTTTCATGCCATCGACCTACTCGACAAACACCATAATCCCCACCCACTCACTCCTCTTTCTCTTCCTTCATCCCTTCATCCCCTCATCCCTTCATCCCTTCATCCCTCAACCCATCCACCCATCCACCCATCCACCGCTCCACCCCTCCGCCCCTCCACCCCTCCACCCCTCTGCCCCTCCGCCCCTTCATCCCTCACCCATTATCGCTATTATTCTTCATGTGTCCTTCAGTCTTTGACACTTGACAACTTCTCTCATCATTACCTTCAACATGTCAATCACCTCGTCGCACCATCTCCAAACTTGTCCCCTGGACTTCATTTATGCCTCTAAAAAATATTACCGTTTATTATTATACAATTATGTAATTATTATTGAATTTAATACACAGAGATATTTTTCGTAATTTTTATCGTAATTTTTATCTAGCGAAAAATTACGATACCGTCACTTAAATTTTTAGAATCAACTCCGTAATCGGTAAGTCAACTAAAATTTCCGTCATTTTTACTAAATATTTCTCTCCATGTAGTCATAAAATTCCTCCATACAACAATTAGCAAACATTTCTTTAAATCTCTCTCCATTATATTAATAAAAAAACCATCAACACCCGGGGGTTGAAACACCCTCTCCCCCATATTAATTTTCCTCCATGAAAAATATAAAAAAAATTGCCGTTAATTTCTCGTTTGAAGTGTAAAAAACGGGTATCAAAGGGGAAACGCGTAATTGGGTAATTGATTCCCGCGTGTTAATTTGAGGTGCAACAATCCAGAATTTCTCGGGTGTAGAGGCTCTAGGTGATGTCCCCGGGTGTCATGTGCTCTGGAATCATTCTCACCGATCACGTACCACTTGTTTCCTCTCAATCCTCAGACCTGGTGAATTTATCCTCTCACTTTGACAGGGGCAATTCTCCTTGCCTTTGAGTAAACTTACGACTATCTCATACAACGGATTACGCGCGCGCAGATCTAACCCGTCACTCCTAGTCTTTTTCGTCCTTCCCGGGAATTCCACCTGGCATTTCCACCATTTCCCCCTCTGACTGATCACAACCAACGCATTCTCCCTCTCTTTTGGATGAGCTAATGCCAATATGACTGCAGTCAGCTGCAATGCTTTCCATTCCCCCTCATTCCCCTCATTCCCCTCATTACCCCTCACTACCTCACACTCCCCTGACTCCCCTCATTCCCCCACACCCACGGCCCGACCCCGTCTTATCACCGTAACAATTTCCCATCAAAAACCAATAAAAAATATAAAATAGAGAAATCATTCGGAAATAATAATCCATCGATCAATCGATTGATTCGACTCGATAAAATCGATAAAATCGATAAAATCGATGAAATTGATGAAATTAATTTAAGAAATAATCGCACGTGTAATGAATGATAATTCAATTCGATGTTTTATCAAAGAAAAGTTGAATTATCCCGTGACAAAGAAATAAAAAAAAAATGAAAAGCAGTAGAATGGAATAATTAGTGAAATATAAAGAAGTAAGCCCGACCCACCTCAACCTGGGGACCCACTTTCCTCCCGATGAATGACTGCCTCAACCTCGTATCCCCCACCCCCATCCACAATCTTTCTCCACGACAAGACCCAGCTCAAGGTCGGCGATGAGTCGGTTAATACCGGAACATCTATCTCGAGATCGTCAAAGCAAAGCGCTCGTCAAAGTCCCCCTTCATCATCATTCGTATTGCCTCTCTCCATTTTTAAAAAACATCTCCATCGGTGTTGACACGGTTTATTTATTTTCTAAAAGCTATACCTCCGCTATTTCCATTTTTATTTATCCGAAGTGATCTCTGCCAAAAATAGGAGTGCCAAGAGATACTTATTTGATTTTTAATTAACTCAGTTAATCGACATGACGATTGACTTTAATATTTTATTTGCAGTCAGTGTTTTCGTCAGGTAAATGGGGGAATCCCATTTTTTGAAGGATATATTTTTCGCGGGTGATTTACTGGTGAGAAGGGGGCGGCAGGGGGGCGTCAGGGAGATGGCAGGGGATGGCAGGGGATGAAAGGGGATGAAAGGGATCGGTTTAAGGTCGATGTGATGATATTTGTGGGCTGGGCCAACTTTGATTCAACTACTGTGGACACCGGAGATAGGGGAATACTCCTAGGAGCTCATACTGAGTACACAGAAACCATTGCCACCGTATTTTAGAGTAAAGTCGTCTGTTTCATCGGTGATTTTCGCGCATGCGAGGATATGTTGGCTGGCGCCTCTCTATCCCCGGATCTTGTCAGTGCGCTCAGCATCGGCCGCGTGACAACATCATTTTTCCATCTTTTCTCCATATTTTTGCGTTAACTCCTTTCGATTAAAAATTAACCAGATAAATTACCGATATGTTGAGATTACACCATCGCGCGATGATTTTTTAATCAGTAAGTTAACGGCTAGCATTATTTTACCTCTTTTTATTTTCAATCCGTCTTTTTTCCCTTTTTTATTTTTATGTTTCTTTCGCTGATTTGTGCAGTCACCATTAAATCCTGAGTGAATTGAGTGTCGTGTCTCTCGGGAAGTTATACCAGTGATTGGAGAATGGTAGGTTTAATTGAATTTACTCGGTTTAATTGAATTAAAAGTTTTTCAAAGTCAGGGGGAGAATAAAATTCAAGTCTACCTCTCTCCGTGTTAATTTTCTGATAAATAAGAGATAACATAATTATGATTTCTCGGTGTGAGCGCCAAGGACTCGGGAGATTACGGCAAATCTCTCGTGCTAATGGGAGAAAAACGGTAATATTAACTGGAGGATGTGAAACTGTAGCGATAAGTATTCTTGGAAATACTTTGATCCATTTATTACGTTTGTCAGTTGAGGACATTGAAAAAAAATAAAATGGAACTGCCAATGCTCCAGCCGATGTAGCCAACTTCGTTAGAGATTATTGTCGTGGGCGATTAATCCGCGAGTTCGCGAGTCCGCGAGTCCGCGAGTCCGCGAGTCCACGAGTCCGCGAATCTGTGAATCCGCGGACCCGCGAATCCACAAATCCCTGGACCCGCGAATTCGCGGAACCGCGAATCCACGAATCCGCGAACCAGTGAACCCGCGAAACCGCGAATCCGCGAACCCGCGAACCCGCGAGTCCGCGAGGACAAAAAGACGTAATCAAGTTTCCCCCGGATGAAAATTCTGGAGAAGAACAAGAAGAATTGAAGTTTCGTTAATAAACCGAAGACCCCGGAAGTATCCCATACTCGTTTGACCTTTCCCAGAGTGTGGGTGGTATCTTGATCAAGAAATTCGATAGTTAGATCATCACCATTTCGCCGGATGGTGAATCAAACCGTAGCCCCTCACCCCACCCAGAGGTTTCAAACTAATTCATAAAGTTACGATGCCAACTCGATTAAAGTATACAATAAGTAACAAAACTTCTGCTCAACCCAAAAATAAAGTTAACGTCAATCAGATTAATCCATTGCCCGTCCTGATGTATTCAGGTCTTCACCGAGGAATTGAGATAAAAAAAAAAATGTTTGGGGCATTCCAGTGGGTCACGACGAAGAGCTCTGATGAGCCAGTTGAATTCTCATTAATCGATGATAATTCATCATTCCACGTGCTCCATTGCTGAAGGACACTGCCGGACAATTGGCTCGTTAGGTTGGCTTGTAAACTCGGTTTGTAAACTCCACAGGCAACCGTCAACTTTATACAACTCAAAGACATGGTTAATGCAACCACCAGGCCACTAACTATCCACTCGCAAACATGGCATGCAGTTACCAATGGGTTCAACAGGATGGAAAATTGTCTGAGACGCCCCAAGTCAAGAGGAAGACGGAATAATATTGCCAAAGTAGGCATGACAACCTGTAGAGTGGATAAAAAAAATTCCCCGTCACCTGGAGATACCCCGGTGCCTTGAATTAATGCTCTCTCGGGTTCGCATTATTATTTTACCGCTAAATGGATTTTTTTTTTAACCTGGAGACCTGTGGGAAAGATAATTGTTCGGGTTGTGTTTCTCGGTGGCTGAAAGGAGCCTTTCAGGCCGAACTTTCTTTCGGGAAAAATGGCAGGATGAAAATTCATGCGGCAATCCCCCTCCGGCGGTTTTTTTTTCTCCTCCCTGATCAGTTGCCCCAGGTGACCCGAGTGCCAGGAGACGCTCATCCAGTCCCAGAATCTCCCAATTTTCTGGTCCAACTCGTAATCTCATTTTCACTTGTATCCATTTGATCCTGCGGAGAATAAATAAATGATTTCACAGATGATCTTCCAGATGCTCTTCCAGATGCTCTTCCAGATTCTCTCCCAGAGACCTAGAGTGCAATCCCATTTTAAATATTTAAAACACTCGGAATTCCCATTAAAATCAATTCAATCGCGGTTTTAACTCATTCCAATAGTTAATTCGAAATATTCGAGGGGATACTCCGGATTGGTCGACCTGGCCACCCCGGAAATAACCAATCGTCCCCCAATAATTAAGATGGAGTCGTTCCTCATTTAAATTCACGAGGGAATCCCGGATTTTTTTTGTTGTTCCAGATGCCGACGCGCAACAGTTTTACAAATGACAGCCGCCAGGTCGAGACGAATGCTGAGTACGTGAAGTGAAGCCCAAGAAAATAAAAGAACAAGTCATAGAGACAAGAAAAAAAAAACGGAAGCGACCCAGGGAAATGCGACACAGGCGATTTGGAAGGATATCCTAAAAATAAAATATTTGTGGGTGAATCGAAAAACAAAGTGGAGGGACAATTCGAGGGGTAGGGGGTTGACTGATATAATGTGTAACAGAGAGCGGGATAAAAAGGTATTAAATATCCTCGGTATGTCAACGAGGTATCGACGGTACCACGAGTATCGTACGATCCTCAGATTCCAAAGTTCCCATCGGAATCCGAACAGACATTAAAAACTAATTGTTTCCTCTCCTCCAGTCGTCTCCAATTCCAAGTGCGACAACAAAATAAACATGATTGACACTCACAATCAATCGGCGGAGACAATTAATAATTTATCCACACAAAGGCTGATTAATCAAATATTTACCTCGTTTTTACAGTTTAAGGTATAATGAGATGATTATTATCAGTACAACAAGTTAGTCAGCTGTTAGACCGACGAATAATAATGAATATTAACGACCAGTGATGTAAGGCTGTAAGGCTGTTAATTGTTCAGTAAAAGTGAATAGTCATTGTTTTTTTTTTTTGTGGAAAATAACAGATTATTTGAAGATGAAAGTAAAATGGGGGAGAGAATGCACTCGCTCTGGAATTTCATTGTCAAATTTAATGATCAGTTGGGGAGAGGGGGAGGACCGGTGATAAGACGGTTGTCTCTCCAAATACTTGGGTATTCGTGCTAATGATGCGGGATTTAAACGCCAGTGCTTGCATCGACCCGTACAAGAATGATGGAGCGGTCGATTGGTCGGGACCGGGAATCGTTGGGACACTAGTTGTACTTGCAATTGTCGATGTAATGGTTGTACTTGGTAATGTACTCGTTATCCTCGCTGTCTATCACACCAGCAAATTGAGAAATGTCACCAATATGTTCATTGTGAGTCTTGCCGTTGCGGATTTACTAGTCGGTGTTGCTGTGCTACCGTTTAGCGCTACCTGGGAGGTTTACAAAGTGAGAAACGTCTATTTTTGTTAATTATTTTAAATCAACTTGTGTAATAATTGTTATTGTGTAACAGGTATGGATATTCGGGAGCATATGGTGCTCTGTGTGGCTGGCAGTTGATGTATGGATGTGCACAGCGTCAATTCTCAATCTCTGTGCAATCAGTCTCGACAGATATCTCGCGGTCACACGACCTATCAGCTATCCTCAGGTAAAATTCACCTGGCATTGTCCATCGTTAGTCATGGGCCTTGGTTTATCAATAATGCGCGGGGATGAACTTGATTGTTACCAGATAATGTCAGCGAAGAGAGCGAGATTACTCGTCGCTGCGGTCTGGGTACTCAGCTTTGTCATATGTTTTCCACCACTTGTTGGCTGGAAGGATCAAATGGTAATTCATTTTCAAATTGATTATTGAATTTTAAAATTAAAAAATTTTTTTAAAAAAAAGCTATAGTAATAGAAAAAGGAAATCTAAATAAAAAAAATGGGGCAATAGGAAAAAGAAATGTAAATAAAAAAATAAATTAAAAATTTCGCTCATTCTCCGAATTTATTGAGAAGAAAAAAAAATGATGGGAAAATTGGAAAAATTGGTAAAATTGAAAAAATTGGATTACACTGGACCGCTAGGAATTTAATGAAAAAAAAAGACCGAAGGGCAGTAATTCCTCTTGGAAATTAATCGATTGACCATTATTGCCTGTGCAAAGTCGTATCCATCGTGGAGTGACGCAGAGCCCGAGCGAAATGGCCCGTTCAACAGTACGACAATACATCGTCATGAGAAAAAGTGCCCGTGGAAATGCGAGCTCACCAACGATCGAGGCTACGTCGTCTACAGGTAATACAATAGTGCTCACCAAGAACGTGCTCTCACAGAGATTTTCTCATCCCCGAAGAAGGACTTGGGATGTTCACTCCTCAAGTACTTCCACCTGTTACGACGTATTGTTTTCTTTTAATCTTTCCACAGTGCACTGGGCTCATTCTACATACCGATGCTAGTCATGATGTTCTTCTACTGGAGAATCTACGACGCCGCTGTATCGACCACCAAAGCCATCAATCAAGGCTTCCGAACGACCAAAGGATCCAAGATGTTCGGTACTCGGTGAGTTCCAAATCAAAAGATTTCCAACGGCTGAAAAAATCCTCTCAATGCATAACCGATTATCAAAAAGAACTTTAAACCCAAGGAACTGTTTCAATCATAATCATGAAACTATTCAGAATTATATCCACATTATTTCCACTCAACGATGAATACTTGAAAAACAGAATGAAGTCATGAGTGGATTACTCGACCCATGATTACCCAACTAGTCGCATAAAAGTGTTATCATTAAAGAGAGAATACAGCAAGAAAAGTCATAAACTCGTGAAACTTCTCGGTATTTCAATGATCAACGAAGTTATGGACTCTTTAACATAAGTACTTACTCTCAGCGCACAAACTGCAGCGCAAGTTTGCAGTTGCGAATGATAACGGGGTAGATAGAGGAATAGAAAAGATAAATAAAAATAAATTATAGGAAATATGAAAATAAGTTGGTCTGATAAGCGTGTGTCTATGGGGCACGAGTCGAACGCCCACTTTTACTCGAATACCCTGTGGTCTCCTACAGTGGCTGCACCTCATTACTCCAGTTATTTCTCCACAACGATACTGACAATTTATAGTGCAAGTGTTTGTCTGCCCATTCAGGCACTTTAAACGCTTCCCCGTAATTGCTTTAGTACAACGTTATTTGTCGTCAAGACGTACCGCTTTTCACTGATACAATTTTCCAACCATTCATTCATTATGCCAATCATTATTCTGCACTCCACTGGGTAACGATGGAAGACAATGGGAAACACCAAAGAAGTGTGATCTTAAATCTTGAAAAATAATTGATTGAATTAAAAAAAATAATTAAATGAATCTACTGGATTTATTTATTTAAACATCATCAATAGAGAGAAGTAAAATTTCAGAGTTCTCTTTGATTGGGCATTGATTTCCTTGAAAAGCTATAAATTTGAGGAGAGAGTATAAAAATCGATCTTGACGTAAGAAATTTAATCTACACCCGGAGATGTTGTCTGATGTTTACCGCTGCAAATCGACGGTTTTTTAAATGAATTATTGGTTAATTGATGTGAGTAATTGAATGATTGCGAATTGTCGATAGATTTGATGAGCAACGGTTGACCCTGAGGATTCATCGCGGACGTGGAAGTGTTCACAACGGCGCCAACAGTAGTCCACGTAGTCCAGAATCTAGCCGGAGTGCTTCAGTGAGACGAGACAAGATCAAGATATCAGTATCGTATCCCAGCACCGAGACCCTCAGTACCAAGTGCAATACCCTTGAGCGTACGCCATCAAAGTGTTCCCAGATATCAGTTCATTACAGCAATGGTCAGACGCTGAATCAACTCTGTACAACCCCGAGAAACACTCACCTGAAGGTAAACACATCCTTCAATTATTCATCATTCAATATGTTTATTTATTATTCACTAGCTCGCAACACGAATAATTCGACCACTGAATACTGCACGTAAAACAGCCCCTGGAAAATGGGATGATATCAGAAAAACTATTTTAATTACAACTGCCACATCAATTAGCACAAAGGATCAATTAATATTCATTCATCTCCGGTGGAGAACAAAAGATATTTACAATTTTCATAATTCATATTTATAGATCACATTTTTCTGGGGATCATTGGGGTCTTGATGGGAGAATTAAAATGACTGTTTCTTTTCTATCTGCATGATGATTAGGTCAGTGGAATAAATCGTGTGGGAAGTGCCAGGAGGGCGAGTCGTCGGAGTAGCTGTGAGAGTCAAGTAACTGGTGATGAAGTTTCACTTCGTGAACTCACCAGTGCCAGTGAGGAGAAGCCACGTGTAATGAAGATGGGCAAGAGAAACATAAAAGCGCAGGTATAGCTGTTAAATATTGGAGTTGAGCCAGTCGTTCAGTTTTGATATCTCGTTTTTATTTGGTTCGAGTCGATGTATTCGAGAGAGTCAATTCAATTGAGGTAAAAATAAATAAATTATTCCAAATGATTCCCTGTCGACGGAGAATCATTGATGATTTAATCGGTGATTTTTTGTAGAAGACTACAGAGTTGAATGCCTGGTAATTAACGATTTATTGATTTTTTCCAATTTTAATTGAACGCAGGTGAAGAGATTCCGGATGGAGACGAAAGCAGCGAAAACTCTTGGAATAATTGTGGGTGGTTTTATACTCTGCTGGTTACCTTTCTTCACGATGTATCTACTACGTGCATTCTGCGAGAATTGCATAAACCCAACAGTATTCAGTGTACTCTTCTGGCTGGGATACTGCAATTCAGCGATAAATCCATGTATCTATGCCCTCTTCAGTAAGGACTTTAGATTTGCATTCAAGCGGATAATATGCAATTGTTTCTGCAAGAGAAACAGAAATTCATTGCGTCGTGGAAGTGACGGAAGCCAATTGGCAACGAGGTTGTTCGTTAATTCCATTATCAATCACTTTATATATTCCAATCCCGGAGTTATATGAATATCACACGCTATAACACGCTTCTAATTCAATAATTTGTTTATTTTATTGTGCACAAGACGATGACTAATTGCTAACAGTATTTGGTGTCACTATTTGTTGATTGATTTTGCGCTGCTTATCGCTGTGGCTCGACAATCTCCAAAATTAATAGCTCCTTCTTTTTCTCTTTTTTTTTTTTCTTTTTGTTTGTAATGATTGATTTTCAGAAACGACAGAAGCCCAAGTTACTCGATACGTGTACCACATCATGGTGTGTCTATCGAGGACTCGGATCCAGATCCAAACTCCGATCATAATGCCCACTCACAGAGTGACTCTAGATGACTGTAGCATAAACGAAATCGCGTAAATAATCGCGTTGTCTTCGATAAAAAAAAATCTGTCGCGATCGAGCTACCGGCAAATGTGAATTGACGTTTTTGGGAAATTCTTAAATTCCACCTCGGACGAGTGAATCTAGTCTCCACTCCGCTGTTAAATTATAATGAGTCTCTCTAAATAAAAATCGCCCTACGTCATCCAACGTATCACGAGTTAAAAGACAAAAGCCATGTGCTTCGTACATAATGTGTGTCTATCAACGATTGATATCGATGCTGTATTAATATGAAATGATGTTAAGTACATTTTCCCTTGTAAATATTAATGTATATACTTCGGTTTGAAGGATCTGTTTGTTTAGTTTTTATTACGCTTCGGTGTTTACTCGCACACTAATGTGGATAGAGAACTGTTAACTAGACTATAAATACGTGTTTCTATTGAGAGATAAACCTGGACAAATGTATTCTGCATTTCGCGTACTATAATACTCAATACGTTAAATGAGAAGAGTGAATAAAATATAACAAACTGGAGAAATAATGGTGTCTATTTGTCATGGACCTCTCGGCTTTAATCCTGCTGCGATTCCTAGTGAAATGTAACCCATTTAATCAACACTGCTTTAACCCCCTGGGGTTATTTGCATAGGTCCTCTTTTCGGTGAAATGATACGTCCACTGGGACGTCCCAGTACTTCTCCGTGTTGTCTCATTAACTATTTCCATTAATGTTAAGTACAGAGGAATATAAATGGCTTTATTTCACATACAGTACAGGTACAAAAATAATTAAAAAAAAAGAGACAAGTCCAACTCTTTTAATTCGTATTCGATATAACTGGTGAACTGGTGATACGAATGCGAGTCAAGTATGCATTCATATCGAGGCCTTTTGTATTATTTACTAAAAAAACCTGTTGAATCAACTCGAAAGGCATTCGTTTCGTTATGATAAAGTAACAAAGGATCCCATTTACCATAGAAATTATGAGTTGAACCCTGTCAATTCAATTTGAGGTATTCCCACAGTCGAATCGAGAGGGCTTGATCGTCGGGTGAAATATTGCATTGTTGTAACAATTGGCAAGTACTTGGAACAGTAAAAAAATATTTCTCACACTCAATAAATAAAATTTTCAAAATGATCTCTAGGAGGTAAGAAATTGTTTTCCCTGTGGAGTACTTCAGCGATTTCATATCCATTTCTTCATTGGCATTCTCAATCTTCTTGCGGTATTACTATTTTATCGATATGAAAGCAGTTTATTTCACTCGACGAGGGCTATGAAATGAGAGAGAGAGATAAAGCAATAAATTTGAAATTTAGTGGTATAAATGGTGGTTTATTAAGCCTCTGGGAGATTCGTTGCCAGCACTCGAAATCCGTTGTGATCAGCTATGTAGTGTACCTGTTGGAGTAATCCATTAGCGTCGATGTAGCTGTATGCACCTCTGGTTGTGCCATCTAGAGACCTACTTTCGGTTTTAGCACTGGTATCACCCGCATAACTGTAGTCATATTGTCCAAGGGAATCCTGCGTATGATGCAGTGCACTGTGCGTCAATCTCCACGGGACAATTGGCGCATAAGCACTTGGTTGTGGATTAACCGGTGAATAATTAACCAATGGCGATGTCTCTTTGATGTTTGATATTAAATGGGGCCTGGGGACTTTAATGCTCGCTGCTTCAGATGGTGATAATAAAAATGGATTCACACGCATCTCGCTATCACTCTCATTATCGATTATTGAATTTTCATATTTATCGTTGTCTGCCAAGTGCTTGCGACGCACCCCCGGGCTCTTTGATTCATCGTCCGATCGAATTAATGAGTTCTCCACTTGCTGCGGTAAATTACTCGCTAGTATACGAAAACCGTTCACATCGTCAGCGGTGTAGGCCACTGTCTGGAGGATTCCGTTTGCATCGATGTACGAGTAACCTGATCAAGTATTTTCAATTAAACCTCTTTCATTTTTCATTCCCTCATTTTTTTTTCTTTTCTCATTCAACTTTCCACGCTAAATATTTCAATCGAACTACTCCCTATCTCAAGCTTACTATCATTAATTAACGAATTGTTGGCGAGAGTTGAATCAGACTGCCAGCCCTTTGTATTTTATCAACGCGGCATGTTATCGCAACGGGAAACTCACCCCCTTGGGTAACTCCATTCGCTCGGGACTCCATTTTGGCTTGATGTGGGGATGAATAGCCATACCGATAAGACCCGGAGGGATCCTGTGCGTGATACTGGGATGCGGGCCAAGTCGCTGGATAGCCCATCGCACCCACCAGGACACCCATCAACAAGCCCACCTATTTTTTTCAAATAAAAATCGGCAGAAAATCGGTTGAAAATCGGTAAAAAAAAAATCGGCCAAAAAAATCGGCAACAAAAATCGGTTAAAAAATAAATCCAAGTCGATACTCACTGTCAACATCACGGATGATTGGTGAATCGTTGATAAATCGAATTGATAGTGCACACACGGATAATCAAGGTGAGGTACAAGTACAGAAGGATCGGCAATACCGTCTGGCATTCTCTTATATAGCGATGGGATGCGCGCACACGAATAGGTCCCCGCCGGTTTATATGGGTGGGGATTTCAACATAATGTTCGACAAGCTTAAAGTACATTTACCCACACTTGTGAACGGTGTTGGGCCCTACGGAAATAAAATCACTGTATTCTCTTCTCGTTTCTCGTTCTCTATATGTACACCACAAATCAAGGGTTCGATTTCCACAACGATAAATCACGGTTTATTGCTTTCAACGCGAGCTGCCGCACTCGTGCTGATATTCTCACCGGTTTAAAATTCGTTTTTACACCCATTTGGTTTATTTTTGGTCGATTTGTTTGGGGGGGATGAGGACACCGAGGCTCGAGCTCAACCAACGATATAAATTACGGATTAGCTCAGGGTGGGGTGGACACCGACGGCGAATATCCGATATTAGAGGTAATTATTGTCTATTGATGTAAGAGATCGCGATGCATGTGGTAGGCAGGTAATTCCAGGTGAATTACTCACCTGTGAGGAAACAATTGGGACGTGGGTGGATTTTGACGAGACGTTGGTAAACATATCGCTATATTTTTATCAAAATTTTTCTGAAATACATTTACATGATTTATCTCGGGTTATCGAAGAGAATGATTATTAATGGAAGTGATACAATGCACTCGCAGTGTTCCATAAATAATAAGAATTTTTTCAACCGTGAGATATTACAATTGGAATTGAAGTTAAGTACGCTCTGGTATCCATGTACTTCCGTCGTTCAAACCGCAGTAAAATCTCTCTTATTATTGGATCGCATTCTGCGGAGCCCTCAGTTGCATCTGTTACACCCACGCATTCAAACCAACCACGTAACTTGCCGCTGAAAAAGGAATAATATGGAGGGAATGGAGAGGAGATAAGTAAAAAAAAAAAGGAAGAAGAAGAAGAATGAAGAGATGAAAAAATTAACGCTCCGAGGGAAAACGAGTTTTCGTCCGTGTTACAGTGGAGAACTTGTGCGAAACAGTGGAGAACTCGGTGGAACAAGAGTGCACGCTATGTCTTTTATCCTTGGGTCCAGTGTTGGGTATTTATATGGGGCTGTGAAGATCATGGGCATGGGTATGGGTATTGGCTGTGGTTGTTGTTGCATACCTATTTCGATATGTGCGACTTAGACTCACAGGGAATGATCTAATCGCTGGGGTTCATTGCCTCCACCAACATCGGAATGTACAATTTTTACTCGACACCCCTGGATATCTCGTCCCATTACAATTTTCTCACTATTTTCACATTTTCATAAACAAGTACAAGCACTCGTATTTCGGGGATGCGAATATATAAACGTTATTGGATTCAGTCAAAGTTTTCCACTCGCTGGAGCAACTCGAGGGGAAAAAAATTGACAGAGGGAGGTAAAAAAACGCCTGATCGATTATCCAATGCACCGAAAGGGCGTTTGTACTTTCATGAGACCGTGGCCATATAAGAGACCGAGTTCACTCGAGCACTTTAAGGAGGAAAAAAAATCTCGGCGTTCCAAACTCTGGCAATCCTCACTCTTTCCACTTTAACGCTCATGAAATATAAATTAAACTGTCTCTCTTTTTTTCACCAGATTTCTCCAGGCTGAGATTTATTTTGGGGATTGAAGGGGAAATTGCTGCATCCATTGGGTGGAAAATACCAATGGTGATGGTGTAGGCGAAGGTGCAATCGACGATGTACCACGCACTCGTGTAATAATGCGTCAGTACAGTCTCTCCTCGTTTTATCATTTCTACATTTATTTTCTATCCTCTCACTGAATGTTATGGTAACATAGGTGGATCATCGTGAGGATTAAGAATGAGGACTCTATTGAGGCCACACCCAACGTGTATTTAATGTTTAGAATAAATTTAACATTTTCACAGTACCGAGAGTGATGTGGGAATTTTACAGCTCCTCTGGCTCAATTCGCAGATCGAAAATTTGGCCATTTCGGTGGACCGTCACGATGAGTGAACCAGGATTCTCCAGAACTTTGTAAATACTCGATGCTGACACAATAGCCTCGCCATTTACGTGGGTCAGGATGTCGCCGGCTTTCAGGCCGTGGCTAAAAAAAAATTCAAACTCACGAGTATCGGGTTTCAACACTTCTACGGCTATTCCCGTTCAGTTTTTTCTATTCTAATTAACGTTTACTATTGAAAATGTTATTTGCACTGTTATAATTAACTAATCTGCAGCTTCAATACTCATTGGTACTCTAGTTATTAGAACAGTGCAGTTTTTGGAATGGAATTACTTCAGGATTTTCCTGGTGATTTGCAATTTGCATCCGTCAATGTGATTATTGACGATATTAAATGTCTCTGTCTTAGAAGTTGCATCCGAAAATTGGAAAATTCTCTTTCATGTACTTTCAGCGACTTACATATAGGCTGGCGATCCTAGCATAACTTTCCACACTAAAACCCCGTGTCTGACACTCGGTGGTATATTATTATTCCTCTGCTGGAGTTCAAAGAGAATATCCGGCGTGAGAGTCAGCATTGTTATACCCATGTAACGTCTCTTCGTCAGTTCACTCGTATTTTTAATTCCTGTAATGCACGGTAAGTAATTGCAGTGCAATAAATAGCCAGTTGTTTTTTTAATTGAAAAAAAAAAAGCACAAACAGGGTGGCAGTTTTATTACCAGAGCTGTTTCGCCTGGCTTCCGCTTTCTTCAGGAATTCCTTAGCATAATCGATTGGTATCGCGAATGAGATACCAGCGGTGACCTTCATTGCATTTATACCAATGGCTTCACCACTCAGATTCACCAGAGGACCACCCGAATTACCGAACTAAATGTCAACCAACGTAATAATTCAATGAATAATTATTTTTATCGATTTTATTGATCGATCTCATTAGGGGCTGTCATTCACTCGTATTTACCGATTTACGGTCAATGAAATCACGGGGCGGACAATCGCTCGTCTCATTATCTTTGATTACGCAAGGGAAATATTGAAATTAACTCCCAAGTGGTGCATATCCTGTTTTCAATATTTTTCAATGATTTTAATGATGAAGCACTTACTGTGATTGCCGCGTCTGTCTGGATGTAACCCATTTGTTTATGGTGTAAACCTAATTCGGCGCTCTGTCTATTGACGCTGCTGACAACTCCACTGGTTATTGTGTTACTCAGGGCCAGGGGAGATCCAATTGCAACCACAAATTCACCCGGGCGTATATTTGAAGAACTGCCGAGTTTCATTACAGGTAAGTTCGTCTGTGAGCAAACAGAAAATACCAGCTAGCTAATTATCATCTAATTGCCAATTATCCGAGTCCACGTCGACTGCGAGATCAAATAAATATATTTACAGAGAGAAAAAATCTTATTATCCATATTGAATTGATTATTTGTTTGCTCGAGGAAGTATAAATATAGAATACAAATACGAAATGTATCTACATTTCTTCCTCGTACCTTATTTATTCGAACAGTCGCCAAATCGCTCTGCATATCGACGTCTTCCACGACTCCAGTGTAAGTCGAGCCATCCTGCAATCTCACCTATAAAAAAACTCGGTGAAACCTTCGGAAAACCGATAATAACGAGCATACGACCCGGAATAAAATCGAATTGGAGATATTGATTTACATTTTTTTTTTCGGTATAATTGTGCGGTGGAGGTAAGGATAGGAAATACCTGGAGCGGGTGCAGGTGTTATCGGACTTACGTTTACCTTAACTAGGGTATTAGGCCTATTAACAACCACATGAGCATTTGTCAGGATTAATCCGTCCGAGGAGACGATGAAGCCCGATCCATTGCTGGTCGTTGCTGGTTTACCTGAGAAAAAATCCATCCTATTTTCCCAAACGATTAATTACAAATCCCGCCATTGGTCTAATTGATTGAAGAGGAAGATTATTTAAAATTTACCTCTTCTGGTCCTTGATCTCGATGTAGACGACAGATGGCGCGGACACCTCGACAACGTCCGCTATGAAATTGTATTTTTCCCGGTTTTCACTGATATGGGTGATTAAAAAATTTTTACTCGCGTAAACACTCGGGATAATTGATAAATCAGGGTGATACGCTCCCAGGAACTCCAGGAGTTGACTCCTCCAGGTGTAGAGTAGATAACCAACGCAGACGGCACCCCCCGATGTCAGAGCGAAGGTTAGATTTATTTTTTTCCATTTTCCCTCGGTTTTTCCACTATCGCTGCTGAATTTTGCATTTTTATTCTGAAATAATCCAGGGTACGTAGATACCACTGTCGATTTTCGGTAGGATATCCGATTTTTATCGAGAATTCTCGATATTACACGCGACAAGGGCCCAGCCATTTTCCACTTTTTCAAAAGCCGCGGTATTGCGTCATTATTTTTAAATTCAAGAAGTCAACGAGAGGAGTAAACGAAACTAGTGCGATATCGATATTTTTATTGAAATTTTAATTAAAATGACATTATAATTTATACCAGATCAATAGAAATTTTCCTAAATCATCTGGAATTACGAATACGAAAAAAAAAAATACTCGGTGTCAGAACAGACAATCAGAGAACGAAGACTGAAGGCTTATCATAAAAGTTGTGGATTTATTTGTAGTGCGATATTAGTATTTCCTTGCATAATTGTTTTTCCAATTGCGAGATTCAATTGAGATTTTCCTGGGTTTTTTCACTCGTTTTCTGGGGAAAGTCTTGAGTACTCCTGGACAATTTTACGATCACTGAATTCATCACCGACTCTGCAGGACGAGTCCGCGTGACAGTTCTCTGGAAGCAATCATAATGTTGCATTACGATTTTTGGTGGGTAAATATGTGGTAGTTTTACCTTGTGAACAGCAAATTCCATTAGCAGCACATCTGCCTGTATTGTCCCGACACATGGCAAAGCCTGCGATGCAAGGACGAGAGTAAAGGCTTTCGGTTCGGCATTTATAGGTCTCTGGAGTGCCTATAAAGCAGCCAATTGTCGTACCACAGCAGATATTAGGGCCAAAACACTGGCCTTGGTGTCCAGGACCGCAGCTGGGGCACTTGAAATTTCCAATTTTATTTTTTAAGGCTTTTAGTCGTTGAGCTTTATTGATAAATACCTCTGCGGCGAGACTGTGGAGTGATAGCAGGGGATTCTCACCCCTTTTGCCCCCTCGGGGACAATTCGTAATGAGACAGGCGGAACTCATGCAGATCAGTGCACTCATGATCAAAATTATCTTCGACATGATCTCCGAAACTTTAATTTGACTTGAGCTTTCCTGTTGTTGACGGCTCCAGTGGTGAAGTTCGAGTGATAGAGATCCACCGGGAAATTCTGTATTTATACTACTCTCCGATATTTGACATTCCCCCGGTGATTTTACTGGGGCTGGACACAATGGAGCACTCTAAGGATTATGATAAATTATATTGTCATTGAAAGAAAAATGCAGGATTTAGGAATTTTAAACAGGTTTATTCAATTCGTATTCTTCAATGATAGGTTTTTGAGATATTTTTTTGTGAGTGGTGTAGATTTTTTTACTGAAACTCCCTCCAGCTTTCTCTTCTTTTTCTTCGGCGAGCCATCGGCTGGGGTCTTTCGTTTTTTAGGAAGCTTTTCCCCGGGGCAGTCCTTTGCAATGTGATCTGGAAGAATTTTTTATAGAATATTTTCGTCGGAAATTAATGGGGCTTGAGATCAATTGAATTTACCTGTTCTGGAGCACTTGAAACACTCGCCCGTAATTTTTGGTTTAATCCCACAGGCGTGTTTCTCGAGAACGCATCGTTGGCATTTATCACAGTGTTTCCAAGTGGGTTTAACACATCTGTTACAAATTTTACAATGTCTGTACCGTCTGCCGTCCTTCGAGGTGCACGATTTGCATAATTTGCAGTGTTTATTCTCACTGGCTACCCACTTATCACATCTCTTGCACCACTTGTACCCATCTCCTGGTAATTTCAACAGATTTAAAGAGACATTTGTAAATATTCGAACTGGGGAGCCATATTTTCTGCCACTCGAGCCAGTTACAAAGAGGGGGTGATTTTCATAATCAACTTTGTAGTCTGACATCTGCAGATCCTTCAGACCTCCCTCCACACCTCTCGGATTCGATTTATTCTGCATTATGGATTCCATAAAATAGGGGAATATGAAGAATATCTTTAAGGTGTCGGTTTCAAGTTTATTCCACACCCTGTGAGAATCTGTTATTGACTTTATCGTTTGGGACATGAACTCCACTCGTCCACCGAACGGTGGATCGCAGACTAAAAATACGTTCGTTCCATTGTCTTGGGTCAGGAAGTCCCTGAAGACTTCCCGGGCTTCTTCGCTGAAGAAGTGGTGATTGAAGAGATTGTACCAGCAGAAGCTCAAAGGCCCGAAGAAGTTGTGCTGGTGGATAAAAAAAATTAAAAGGAATTCCATTAGAATTTCATTTTATGCCATTCACTTACGTATCTCCCATCGAAGTCCAGCAACAAACTCGTCATCTCCTCGTGATTTTTACTAATATATTCATGAATTCGAGGTGCCCCAATGCACAAAACATGTTTAGCCCCGGCTTTTATCAATAAATCGACAACATCAGCTGTTGCTTTCTCCGAGAACATGTACTGGGCCTCTTTCTTCGGATTCGAGAGTGGTTTTAGGATTTTCGTGGGGTTCTTCAGCTCCTCATTAGTGATTCCAGTAATCGAATCGTGATCCTTGTGCTTATGGATCTCACCGATGAAGACTAGTCTTCCACAGGTGTGACAGAATCCCCTGTTCTCTGGACGTTCAGACAAAATTTCGTTGAGCCTCAGGAAATATTTCCTGTGATCGTACTGCAGGGAAAACTTTCGAGATTCCGTCTGCCATGTGGTCTTCTGAATTTTCGTGAGTTTATCGGTCTTTTCTAAATAAAAGGCACATAGTTTTCGATCTCTGCAAGCTGAGCAGGCGAAATGCTGCTTGATTTCCCCATTTTCTCGTTTTCCAAATAATAATGTGGGACCTAGGATAATATTTTGATGATATAATTACGATGAGGGGATGAAAATTAATAAAAAATTTGAATTTCAATTCTAATTACCATGAGGACACCGTGGATGATCCTTCAAATTCCCCCAAAAACACTCAACTCCAGAGCCAGAGCTTTCTGAACCCATCTCTCCTCACAATCCACAAATTTTCATTCATAAACAGCCACGTGAGGATCGAATGAATGAAATAAACAATATATTCGAGGTTAGGGTCCAGGGAAAAAAGATAAACTCAACAGATAAAGCAGTGTGAACGAGTATTAAATTTAAAAACTTTATTAATAATCGTGCAAATATTCCATAAAACGTACAAAAGAGCAGCAAAACATTTCTAAAATTCATAAACCCAATTACAACAGACTCTTCACGAAGACCTCTACTTTCCCAATTTTTTTTTCAAATTATCGGCGAGTTTATCCATGAACTGGAAGGTCTCCAGATAGTCAGACCTGGTGACGTTGTTCATGCCCTTGATACAAATGGCGAGATCTTTGGTCATGAATCCCTCCTCGATGGTGCTTACGCATACTTTCTCGAGGGTTTCAGCGAAATTCTTGAGCTGATTGTTCTTGTCGAGTTCAGCACGATGAAGAAGTCCCCTGGTCCAGGCGAAGATCGAGGCGATGGGATTGGTGGAGGTCTCCTTGCCCTGCTGATGCTGTCTGTAGTGACGAGTGACAGTTCCATGTGCTGCTTCAGCCTCGACAGTCTTTCCATCGGGACAAATGAGGACTGAAGTCATCATCCCAAGGGAGCCGAAGCCCTGGGCAACGGAATCCGACTGGACGTCTCCATCGTAGTTCTTACAAGCCCAGACAAATCCACCGTCTGATTTCATGGCGTATGCCACCATGTCATCGATCAATCGATGCTCATACCAAATTCCTGACGCCTCGTACTTCGTCTTGTATTCGGCGTCGTATATCTCCTGGAAGATGTCCTTGAATCTGCCATCGTACTTCTTGAGAATTGTATTCTTGGTGGAGAGATACAGAGGGTACTTCCTGGAGAGGGCGTACTGCATGGAGCTGTGGGCAAATGCCCTGATGCTCTCATCAGTATTGAATTGGGCTTGAGCTATTCCAGCTCCCTTGAACTCGTGCACTGTGTGCTGAATTTTTTTACCATCAGAACCTGTCCAGGTGATCTCCAGCTTTCCTGCTCCAGGGACGACGAAGTCTGTCGCCTTGTACTGGTCCCCATGGGCGTGTCTGCCAATGATGATTGGTTCATTCCAGCAAGTCACCAGACGTGGAATATTCTTGCAGATTATGGCCTCCCTGAAGACCGTACCTCCCAGGATATTCCTGATTGTTCCATTCGGGCTCTTCCACATCTGCTTCAGCTTGAATTCCTCCACCCTCTTTTCGTCTGGAGTTATTGTCGCGCATTTTATTCCCACGTTGTATTTTTTTATCGCCTCAGCACAGTCCACGGTGACTTTATCAGATGTGGCGTCACGATTTTCTATTCCCAAGTCGAAGGTGTGGAGTTCAATGTCCAAGTAAGGAAGAATTAATTTGTCTTTTATTGAGTCCCAGATTATCCGCGTCATCTCGTCACCCAGGACGTCAACCACTGGACCTGCCTAGTGAATAATGAAGGTCAACGTAATTTGAAAATCTAATCATTCTTTCAATAAATCAAAATTATTTTGAATTTATGAGCTGCAGGGCGCCATTTAATTTCGTCCAAATGATAAATACCAAGAGAGTTAAGTTCGACTTATCGCATCGACTGATACATTCTCTTAAAGAAATGATAAAAAAAATAAAACCGAAGGCTGGTCGCGTGATTGCTGTAACGCCATTGAGGGGCAGGGGGAATGACTACGTCAGTTATTAAATCCAAGGTCATTCCAGTCAATGACAGATGTCTTTCGATGTCACAAGTGGGTTTGATTTAAAATCCAGTGAGGGTTAAACGTCAAATAATGGTCAACCGTGCTCGTCATGATGAAAATACAGAATGTAGCCTCTGGTAATTCTGTCACGGATGCAATTGCAAGGGTGTGACTCAGATAAATGTCAATTTACCTTGATTTTCGCCATGGCTGCTGCAGAAATACTGAATCCACGAACAAATGAAGGTGAAATAAAATTGGAGCGCTTGGAATTCGTGAGTCTTGACAATTGGGACTCAGCAATCACCGGTGCATCGGGCAGCCCAGGGAAAGACCGAATGATTTTCACGTTCGCCTTCGACACGACCAACACACGGGACAGGAGGGACATGGCAACCCACTTCGCCGGTTTATACCTCTCACTTTGTCTTTACAAAGTTACACTGGCACTATCTCTGTCTTCTCACTGACGATTCACACCACCAGTGCACTTTCCCCACTCTTTGACAGTGACAACGCAGCTACTGGATGACTCTCTGGTATAAAGTTGTATTCACAGGTTTTTTTATTTTTCATTCAATTATTTCACATGGGGCATGACTTCTTCCACTACACTCCATTGAACTATTTCAAGGTCTCAGTTGTTTTCGACTTTGCACTCTGGTCAAGGTGAGTTTGGTGATGATTTGTTGACGCACCTTGAGGTCACGAACTTTTGGGTCCTACTGGCATAAAATTTTCTGATTACTGATTTTTCCAGGGTATTATGTAAGAAATCTGGTGGAACTCGTTATCGCAGAAGCTTCATGTTTTTTTTTTAACGGACACTTTACTGGATGATAAGGATTATTGGGGTTGGTGAATATTTTATCTCTGTGCAGAAATCATGCACGATTATTTTGCAAGATTTTTTTTCTGGGGTGTTATTTGGATTTATTGAATGTTTGGAGGACTGACTGTTCGATTTTTAATCGGAATTTCGATTTTTTCATTCTTAATTTGAGAAGAGGAACGTCATTACTCTTGTAAGTTAAATTTTCCCTGTAATGAATGATTTAGTCTAGATATACTTACTTAGGGGATGGAAATATGGAAATAAAGAATAAAAAATTTTTGAAGAATCTGTGACCCATAAAAAATGTCAATTTTCGTACTTTTTCCCCTTTTTGTTATTCCCTGGAATAATTTTTGAAGAAAAGTCAACAGCGCATATACTCCTAATGAAACCACATTATTACAATCAACGTGGACAATTGTAATAATGTTGTTTCATTAGGACTATATGCAAAGAGGATTGACTAAAGTAGAGGGGGTTGTGGGGGTTTAAATGACCCCAGCGGCATCGTAGTACTGCACCCCAAGAGAGGGAGGGCGCAACATGCAATGCTGGGGTGTTTTTTTTTTATTAACCAAGTTTTTATTGCAATGCTGGGGTGTCCATCAAGTCGACGGGGTGAATTTTATTTTCTGCTGTACGAATGCTTTTTTTTTTCATTTGTTTAACTGAAATTTAGCCGACTGTATCACGTACGGAAGGGGGAAACCACATCTTGTGGAATTTCAATGAAAAAAATTATTCAATGTATTGAATATATACCACTAATGAATTTTTATTTTTAAATAAGCGCGTTGTCCTAGTGGTAACGTGCTCGACTGGCACGCCGGCGGCCCGGGTTCAATCCCGGCATTATTTATTTTTTTTTTTTTCAAAATAATTCCAATTTTTTTTTTTTGTTAATGGCAAATCCATCGAAATATCGTTTAAAAACTGAATATTTGAAAATCCAGGAGATATCCAGTGAAATAGAAAAATTAGCAATTTTTTAAAACGATACTTTTGCAAAATATATACTCCTAATGAAGTTAAATTATTGTAATAATGCGTTATCCTAGTGGTAACGTGCTCGGCTAGCACGCCGACGGCCCGGGTTCGATCCCGCCGTCATTCATTTTTTTTTTTTAATAATTCCAATTTTTTCTTTCGGTAGGTATTCACTGCAATTGAAAAATTCGAAATTTTTGAAAATGTATCAGGGGAACATAACAATCGAAGAGCTATTCACTGAAATTTTCACTGAAAGTGAAAAATTCGAAATTTTTGTAAAAGTATCAGG